GTGAATATCTGGCGAAATATCGTTTTTGACGTCTCAGAACGTAGCCCTGTCGAAAGGGCATTTTCTAAATGCCATCGGGCTAAGTAGAATGCTTAAGCAAACGATAATCTTTTCATGTTATACTTCCGTTGCATTATTAAAGCTTTTTAAGACAATTTTTACACTGGATTAATTTGTCCTACTGAACTTAATTGCATATTTTATTAATCAGCTTGATATTTAGCTTTTATCGCAGTGTCCTTACTAAAAAAATAAACGATGTAATGTATAAAATGAGAGTGTCTAGTCATACACTATTATGAAGATAAATAATTCGTAACTAGTAGTATTCAGTGTGTTGAAATTTGTAAACGGATACAATTTAAAGTATTCTTTAAAACAATTTACCTTTGAGTGTTCGGTACACGTTTTAGTCTACTCATCTTAAAAACAGACACTGATGGGTAAATATCACGGCTACAAGGTTAACTACCTTGCGGATAATCTGACAAAAGCAGTTTAAGGTAACTACTGCCTTCTAAGGATTCAAGGTGCAATAATGTCGTATGTTTACAACCGTTTTGTCATAAAAATTGAAGTCATCCCTTCATCTCTAAGTGGACATTTTGAAGCCAGTCCTTGCCAATGAACTTTGAATTTCAGTAATGACATTCTACATGCTTACCATTTTATTTCAAGTGTCAAATCAACAGGGATTGCAAACGCCAGTCTTGGTTTCTGGCTGAGGAGGCAGTTGTGGAAGGAATATTTTCAGTAAAGTGATTTGCACGACTTTTCAAAGGTTCTGCTTGTGCTAGAATTTAACTTGCCACCAATGTTCTATTGTATTTTTACAACTACACCTAAGCTAGAAATGTAAAATTAGGATTATTGAGTTACACAACCAATATACGAAGACGTTTTCTGCCATTAACTTTGTGCACTCGGTCGAGTTTCGTCCTACAGTGCACGTGGTGGAACGTCTGTTAAAAGTCTGCTTTGTCATCAATGTGGGCAAATTTAGTGTTCTTTACAATTGCGAGCAAATTCCCCTTTAATGATTGGTAGTTTTTTTCGATCGGGTTAGCATAAATAGGAGCACTTTTGTGGAATTTAAGTTTATTACAGCCCATCTAATTTTTGTCAAATTAAAAGGAATGTTGCTTTTGAGGGGTTGAGAACGACCCATCTAACAGAATCCATTAGTGGTACAAATCAACTTTTAATTCATGCAATCGAGGATTAGTCGGGACTGCATCTAATTTGGGCACAATTATTAAAAAGATGATTTTTAAATGTTTAATTATGTATATAAGTTGTTAGATCCTCGGGTAGGGTACATCTGGTCTACCCAAAGTCCAGGGAATCGAAATTCTAGACTTGATTGAAGCAGTCTTTCAATGTCGCATTGAAGACATGCTGCATTTGTTATGACAACGCGTTAACCATCTTGCACAGTCTAACTGGTAGGTGCCTATTTAAGCAGATTTACGCACATGATTCTGGGCCAATTCAGGTTTATAATTTTCGTCAAATTCATTAAAATGGCAGCAGGCGGATTGGATCTGCTGTGTAGCTGACCAGCAGACCAGATAATTCTCCCTCCACTGGTGATTTCTATACAAATTTTAGCCAAAAATCACAGTTTTGTTGGCGTAATTTGGGTCTTGCTTAAACAGATAAATGCCAGATGGTGCGATTGCTGGAAAGACGTGCAAGTAGGACAAGTGGTCCAGTTTAAAACCACGCAAGTTTATTCAGGAAGCCACAAACAAATGTGGATTGCAGTTGTCGATTGGAAACACCACGTCATTTCTTTGAAATGTTTCTTTTGATTTATGGGACAACATTTTTGCTTCCAAAAATGCACCAGTTGATCAATTCAATCAAAGTTCAGATAGTCTTTAAGCATGAAAAGGTTCATTTCTGCGATGTAGTGTGTAAATGTGCATTTAACAATTAGTTGGCTGAGCACAGAATGAAACTGTGGTGTTCATTAAAGCACAGAATTAATTGATGGTAGTAATATTGGTGTATATATCGAAGGTTCTAGGCATTTTTAAAACAAATATATCAAGCTAAGTTGCTTTCTTGTTGAAATTCACTGACCAATTTTAGTTACTTCAGAAGCTGTGGATTATTTAAACCACCCATTACCTTTTCCCTACCAGAGTCGATTTTGGTTACAAATTTAGGGCACTCAAATGGTTCAATCTCATTAAGTGACCCTAGCTCATTTGCGCATTTAAGATAATTTATTAAAAAGAAATACTCGAATGTGCCAAGAGAGAAGAATAAGAAATGGATACCGTTGGCCAATTGAGTTCTCGTGAACTAACCCCTGAATGGCAAGATGTGTAGTGTGAACACGGAAATGCATTATTGTGGGGTCGACAAATGCTGTGGGCCCCAGCATGTAGTCTTGAACCACGCCGAGGCCACTGAATTAACCCTGGCCCGAATGCGCTACTCTGGAACTCCTGCTGAATAAGAAGACCGGAGAGGACGTGGACACAATTGTTTACATCAGAGCTCAACCTAGGTGGTGTCGTGTTGTGTGTGGCGCTTGCGCTTGCTGAAATGCATGAATATTTTGAATTGAAAAATCTTGCAAAATTTTCTACTTCATTCCCGCCAAAGCCGGAGAGTTATTTTTGGTATTTGGTTATGCCATAGGCAGAATTACCTATGTGCACAACGCCAGATAAAAAAAGTTGCTGTCGTAGTCTGTTTTTTTTTATAAATGCCACAATTCCTTGTCGCGCAGCTATGCTGGACGCCAAATGCAACTGGGCTCGCTAATATACATACGAAAAATGTACAAAACTACAGTTCTGTACACTGCAACAAATAATTCGGCAAAATGTACCTCATGCCTGCTCACGAAAAATAGCTGAAAATCAAAATTATTCAGCCCTCACTAAAGAGAGTTCATTTATTTTGCCACTAATCAGGCAAATTCTGGTTGGAACATAGGCTAAGGAGTAGTAAGGCAAATATTTCAAATGTGAGAATCTGGTAGAAGGGTATTCACTTGATTGTTTTGTTGAAATTAAACACAATTCACCTTGTTGCCTTTAAAGCCGGCACATTCACGGAATTTCTCATTCAGTAGTGCATCGTTTTTACACTACACTACTTCTGAAACTACATTCGAGGAAGCTCCATTATGCTTGAGCATTATGCTTGCAGGATCATCTAACTGTCATTGCGAAAAGATGCTGTAAGACACAGTAAACTAACACCACTTAACAAGGCGCCTGAATCACGTCGGCTGCTTTGATTGATTGGAGCCATTTGCAGGACTGTTAAAAAATGCATATCATAGCTGGCTTTTGATACAAAAAGCCGAAAGCTTCTTTTTTCTTGATGATTAATTTGTGGTAGTGATTAGTACGAGTGTACACTTCGCTATTAATAGATCAGAGGACACATTGTAAGCAACAGGCATTAGTAGAATCAGGAACTCAGGACAAAAGTTTGTCCACTGTTTGCATACGCAGATTAAAAAATTTGGTAAATCACAACAAAAATTATTATTTGACTGCGTAACTCCAATTACTGCCTAGGATTTAGCTGAACTTTGTTTATTATGAAATGTACAAACATTCTGGAACGAAAGAAACCTTATAGCATCCAAGTACATTATCAGGTTAATGCAGTGGGACTCTAAAACTGCCTTGATGGTTAAAAGAAGCCTCAAACTGCCATTTAAGTACTATAAACAGGATTAATCGGATTGATTTTTTTTAAGACAACGGCTAAAGTTGCCAAAGCATTTATCACTGTTTTCCAAAAGGGTGACAGTAGATTTAGTCAGTTCATTGACAGCAGCGACGAGTCTGTTGGTCGTCTGTCGTTTTTTACCCGTGATTCATTGTTTTTAGCGCTGATTCGACAAAAAGCAGACTTTACTTTATTCGAGTTTTACAAATCCACCCGAGAAAACACTTTTTCATACAAAAAACATTTCTGTAGAGATTTCGGGAATTAAAACAACAATTTGGAGCAAATTAGCAACACTGTAAACATCGACAGACCAACTTGCTGATGTCGACGAACAACAGTGGAGTTTATTCTCCACAGTAAATTTCATGACAAGTAGCTAAGTAAACAGCAAATATTGAACAGTAAATTTCTACAACACGTAGAGACACGTTCTACTACTGGAGGATTTAAAAAGTGTTCAAACGAAACCAGCATGGCAAAACAATGAGAAAATCAATACTAGTCGATAAATTCTACATAGTTAAATTTGCATTTTTTTCTGCACCTTGAGAAATATACCCTAATTTTTTAAACCAATTCACAACTCGATACCATCGTGGTAGTTGTCAGCAATTATGCAAACCCAACACAAACGTAATAATTGGGCGTCACTTTTAAGTTACTTTGCCATAAACTAATGTGACTAATTATGTCACCTTTACCAAATCTTGGTACTCAGTTGTAAGAAATACCCATTTGCGTGTACTGGTTTGGTAAACTTAACAAATCTTAAAAAACGGTTGCTGTTTCGTCTCCTTAGTCAAAATAGACTCCTGAAAATTTAGTATTCCTAAAAGTAACCGGATTATGGTCTGCACCGCGAAAATTTCCCAACCTCAATAATGTAATTTTTGTTGCGTAACCGTGGCAACGCAGAGCCTGGCGTTGTCAAGGTGCAATGGAGCCTTTTCTGTTGACTATCTCTGATCACTTCCTGTCTATCTTGTTTTTTTCCTGTTTGACCGATTACAACTTATGACGGTGTAATAGGATTGAAACGCAATAAATCATGTCAATCAAATTATACTAAAAAAGAATAATTTCCTGTGCAATCGGCACTTTTGCTGATTTACATGGGTTTCTTATGAGTACGTAGAGATGAAATTGTTACTTGCCTAAAGAATTAGTGCTTTACTCTTCTGTTTTTAGAATATTCTGTTTAAATTCACTTGCATGAAGTCAGTAAATGCCTTCAAAGCAATTTTGCGCTAATGAGCAAATGGCGCAACAGTTTTTCACGTCACAACCAAAGGATGCTTGCTTTTTCAACTCAAGGTTTTACAACGTGGAATTTTTTTTGCCTAGAAGCTGTTGAAAACTATTTTGAAATGCGTAAAACCTCTGTCTCATATCATCTTAGGCTGGCTGTATGAATTGTCAGAAAGGACCGACGCGTACTACGGCGCCAACATGACCGGTGGGCCAAGCAGAAGCAGCATCTACATCTCCAGTCTGTACTTCATGATGAGCAGCCTGACGAGTGTTGGTTTCGGCAATGTTTCGCCCAACACAAGCAACGAAAAAGTGTTCTCCATCATTGCAATGCTTGTCGGTGGTAGGTTTTTTATTAAGGGCAGTACAAGTTTCCTCCAAACACGTTTGGCATTTTGAATGATCGATGAACGCCGACGTTCTGCTTTGTCCGAACTAGTTCTAAACACGAATACTTATTTTTTTTTAACTCGTGCCATTTGTAAGCTTACTTGTTCTGTTGATGGCATTTATCATTTTGTGTGAGATAACTGCTGCGTTTTTGTAGACTTTGTCGTTGCTAATTTAAAAGTTGGGAATGCCATTTGAGTGATGCAATTCGACAAACGTTTGCCTTTAATATAGAATCATAATTTTGATGTGATAACCTGATTTCCAAATGATACAGTAGGGTAGTATTTGCCCTTTAGAATTGCTTTGCAGCTTTTTAAATTCCGGTTTAGAGTTAGGCCAAATCAAGCAAAATCTCTCAAAAAAATCTTCTTGAATGTATTTATGTCTACTTGAGGGAACAAATTCAAAATCATGCCAAATTAGGGGGCTAAAAATCTGGCTTACGCTTTAGTTATGCAATAATCACGATGTTTAAAATACCGTGAACGCATATGTCGCGAACACTGTTTTTCATAACACTACATTAATGTGATTCTAGGACTAAAAAGCCATTTTTTAAAAACGAAAAGTTTACTGAAAGTCAAAATCTTATAAATACTTCGAGACCTTTGTGTTGTTAATTTAGTCGTCTACTTCAAATTATAGTCACTAAATTATGACTAGTATTTTATTAAATATTTGTGCCAATCATCCAATGCTTACCATCAGTTTAAGATTTTTCGAGTTAACCAGAGCTAAGTTTAAAGGCTACTGAAAGCTCTGAGTTCAAGTAATATGTAGGAAGACAAATTCATGCACTTTAAGCTGATAAGAGCAAATCTATCAAGCGTCTGCGTTAGCCCTTTACTTGTAACATGTGGAATTAATCGCGTCAACTGTCCAAGAAAATGAATTGTCTTGTAAAGCCGCCTTTTAGAGGCCACAACCAGAGTTAGACTTTATTTATTTGTTAATAAAATTAGTTTGCATGTGCCAAATGCCCTACAACTCAAAGCACTTACTGCCTAAAATTGATTGAAGCAGGTGTCTGAGTAAGTGTTGATACATGTTTTTGAAATAGATGGTGCTGATAATTACTGCGACGCAGAATTTCAAATTTCATCTGTCAACGGGCGGTAGAAATTGAAACAAAAAATTGACTTTGACCACGAAACACCTAGAAATTGATCTTAAATTTAGGTGATGCGAATAATAGCGGCACAAATATTCTCCAAAAATGAATGGACAATGAGCGTTTTAGCATTTTTAAGGACAGCACCAAAATCCATTTTTTCCTGCTTGTCCAAATAATTTGCGTCCATGTATAATTTTAGAGTTTTGCATATGTTTAGTTTTGCGTTTTTATCATCTGCTACGTCGTATTGCACAAATGGTTTGACAGCTGTTAAGGAGTGTATATTGGTAAGACATACCCTTGTCGATGGTGCGGTCCTTAGATAAGAGAAAAGAAAATTCGGGCGAGCACACCAGGCACTGAAATTTTGTCTTCTTTAAAGATGGTATTGGAAAAAGAACAATTGCCGCCACCTGCAAAATCGCTAGTCCTAACTGCTACATATTCTGCGTTATCGAGATCCGTGCAGTTTAGACGATGTTGTTGTAATTTACGCATCGGTTGCAAGTGAAACAAAATTTGCCACTGATGGAAAAAAAGATGATGCGACAACCCTCTATCAAAATTAAACGTAATTTGATTGGATGTCTGCAAGGTAATCGATTAATTGTTAAAATATAAGTTGCGTTCATTTGCAACTAAATTGATTTTTTCCCAACCAACCAGGCTCTTTCTCTCAAAATTCGGATTAACTTTTCTTAAAAATCATTAAAAAATACTAATTTAGTGCAAAAGTATACAAAAATCGAGGTTTTTTCAACCTACGAATATTTCGATTTACTACAAAATTATGTAAATACATGTACATGCATATTAATGCTAGGGGTTAAATGGGAATCCTAGAATTATGGCTAAGAGGCCGAGTTAACCTTAATCAACTGAGTGTTAATAATTGAAAATTAAGTGAGTCCTTGAGGTCCTCGTTGGGTTATTTGCAGGAACCAGTCTGGCAGTGGTAATCTGGATTAAACTTTAGTAACGTAACACAATTTTAGATAACACAAAAATTGGGAAAATTGTTTTGGCACTTGGAGCGTGACGTATCTGGCAATTTGCCTCACAGGATCGAGTCTCATTGCTTAGTCATTCAGCTTGTCTTATAACAGAATGATTAGGGACCAACATCGAGTCTTCAACTAGTCCCCAATCTACTGCCTGTCTTAGTAACCAAATCAAACACTCACAGATGCTACAACTGAAGTTTCTTCAAAATGCTCCCTCTGAGGAGAAATACGCTGTTCCCCTAATTTGAAGTTTCTAAATGCGCTTCGCTTCGTTGGTGCGTGATCTGCTAAGGCATTGTTTCTCTTACTTGCTCATATCAAACAGGAAGTAATAAAAATGTTCAGCCTGTTTAATCGCAACCTGGTTTGGCGTGTTGTACGTTTAAGTGTGAAACCAGTGGGAGTTAAGCACATTACAAAATTAACGAGCCCTTAGAGTAAAAAGGCACCATCATGGATTTATTAAAATATTAAAACTTTTGCACTTAGGAAACGTCACACTTTTAAAAAGCATTTTGAGCGCTCTGAGCATGCGGTTTTCACTCACGGTGTAATCACGCAACAATGGCACAAAAATCGATAACATTCTCAGGAGATCCAAAAACGTTAAAATTTAAATTCAATGAAACATCAAATTGTCGATATTTTGCCCCCTGACAATTATAAAGATAAATTTTGAAAACAAGACTCATGTAAAAGTAGCATCTTAATAAATTAATCTCCTAGAAGTACAATTTCGATTTAAAATTTTGGAAAATAAATAAACTCGGAATTTTGATTCTAATTTGGCAAATAAACCTTCAAGATTAATACAACTTTCAGCCACAATAATGTCTGTTTGTTACCGACTGTATTATGGGTGGTTTACAGAAACGTCATGAATCTCTTATTGCAGTCAACTGGGACAAATGCCAGTAGATATGATGTTAAGGAACAAGGGTTAATCATGACTTTTCATATTTAAAAAGTCTTATTAGATTACGTAACTTAGGGATGGGAAATTGCGGCCTACTTACAATGTAAAGCCTTGTCATGACCTCTAGGGAGAAAATATCTAATTTGCTGTCTTCTTAATCTAGTACACCAACATTTAACAACACGATGTCTTTTCCCACTTGTCAGGGTAGTTTTTCCACAATGTAGGAGCTTTTCTGATCCCTCTAAGGTTAGTGATTTCTTGAAATACCTTGGTCTAAAAATCTTCTGCAAGGATTTGTATCGACCTAACAATGACGACCAGAGTATGAGGTAATTTCCGCAAATTTTTTAGCACATTTAATTTGAAACAGAAAACAAAGAACGTAATTTGGAAATATTGTCTATCGTCTTTTATGACTCTGCGTCATCTCTCTGGTAATTTAAGAATTCCGTCGCGAAATAAGCTTGCAGACTTTGAAGCAATAAATTCATCGACGTATTCACGCAAATCGTCTGGCATTTTAAGCAGTTTATTCACTAAGACGTGCTGCTGAATTGACTGGAACAAATAGAATTCAAATGGGACTGATTATAATGAATGTGCCGCGTGTGTGAGAATTAACCACCCCACGTTCAAGAGGGTCTTCTGCGTCGCGCGAGCTTCTTGAGGTTGAGCGATGTCATGCGGTAGCATTATGACTCGCTTGCTTTCTTTTCCCAGTAAACAGCATTTTTAGATCAAGTTCTTCACTCCGCTTGCTCATTTGTTGGCTGTAACGCTGTACAGTCACGGTTTGATCAACTTCTAGGGGTTCGTAACAAGGTACACCCTTCACGTCCCACCAGATATCCAGGAGAGTCTTCTCCATGTGGATGTCCTGTATTGGCGTCGATGTACTAGGTTGTCCGGGATCGACTCTCGACTCTTTACCTTTTGGATTCTTAAGCAAAATGCAAAGTTACCATGCGCCCCAAGTTTTCCTCAAAAAAAGACATCCACTGCCTATTGCTAGCAGTGAAAGACGTGTGTTCATTCGTTTATCTAGGTTGTGTTTGGTCAACACACGTGGAGGCACCCAACATCCAAATGCTTGAATTTTTCCCGTTTGGTGCAAACGCTGCTTAGATGACTCTTAACTGAGCTGCTGCAAGCTCTTGTTGCATCCGTACTTCAACCGCGCATCTTCACACTTTTGAGGCTGTCTGAGGTGCGGCTGGTCACTAAGACCAACGTCGCCACTTCCAAATCGCTTGTGCCAATAATTATACGTTCCATAAGACATAAGACACTACAGAAAGATTGCCTTTTGTATTGTCGAAAGTCGCACAAAATGCAGTGCCATCAAATGTGCATCGTATACTCGGATACTCTGAGTGATTATGTAATTCATGTAGACTTGTCGTTCAGTAAACGATCCCTTCAAAATTAACAGAACACATCTGTGAGAATCAAGCCATGCACTCAATGAGAACTTCGGGAACCATGTGGGATCAACTCTAAAACAATAACCAATATTTTTTTCTCTAAAACTTTGCCTAACTGTTTAGCATTTAGGTCATCGGCTCTAAATTTCACAACGTGAATGATGAGAAATAATTTACCATGGCAATATGACCAAGTTCAACCAACAGAGCAAGTGTGCTGGAAAGAGAGGTCTACCATTTCGCGTGACGAGGTTTCAGTTTAAAAAGGAATGCTGCTTCGTTTAATCTCCAAACTAGTGTTGCAATGTGTAAAGACTTTGGGTTGGTCGACTGAATTCCCTTTCGCCCATGCCTGGCAAGATATATTGCTTCTGAGAAACCCTCAGGATCTTTAATTAAATTTTTGTCATGTTTGCCGTAACCAAGATCCCTTGTCTGACGCTAGAACCGACCTTCTCATGCTAATGCAAGACCCGACCTGAGCTCGTGGAGATAGCTTTAATCGTCTTAGTCGAAAGGCGAGTGATCAGTCATATAGTAAGTATTTGTAAAAGTTAAGATTGATGTTGACCTGATGGATGAAAACGGATTAACACAAATGTTTGGGAATTATTGTAAATAATGGCGAAGGTGGTGGTGAGCCATCTTAGGGAATCCTAGATCCCCACTCTAGTTTTCTGATACGTTCGCTCCTTAAGATAACACATGTTATCGACTTTAAGACAGTAAAGATAAACTCATCTTAAACACCGATTAAGGTAATTAGCTAAGCGGTAAGCTTTTTCGCATGTATAAAAACGGCTTTCATCTGACTGGATAGTAAATCTAAACAATTTTAATCTAGAATATCAAATTATTATACCACTTTCTACATACCTTCAATACATGCATATACGATTAGTCATGTTTAGGTGTAAAAGAACTAGCATTCCGTAAATTAACAGACTTTTAACTTGGACCAGAACAAGATTTCTTCTACAAGAAAAACAATCTAGGTTTTTTGCCAGAAATTATAGCTTAAAAAAATTCACCTGTGTACTCAGTAATGATATTCACTCTGCCACCGACTTAGATATTAAAGCATGTGGAGTCATCACAATGACTTTATTGGGAAAATGACTTAACACTTTTTAGGAAAAAGGCAAATATTTGCAAGCTTATAGCACCTGCAGCAAACTCTATCGTGCTTTCTGTATTGTAGTAACATTTAAAGTGATTGTCGCAATGTAGGATTAAAATACATCACACATCATTACAGTAGAGTAAGCAGAGCATGACAAATTTGCGGAAAAAAATGCTTTTGACCACAGCGCAAGACGGATTTTAAATAGCGTCAAATGTTGTGCATAACCGCTCGATATCTTATAGCTTACATCGAAATTCAACAACTTAGCGACATTGTAGTAACAGATTTGACTTTAAAGTAAAATGTAAGCCGTAAAACGTTTTGCCGCTAAATTCAAACGACTAACCGTCTTGGCACATGTTAAACCTTGAAAACGTACAGTTTTCTTAACAAAGCATGAATTTCAGCATAAGCAAGAACCACTAGTCCTCTACTTTCTAAGTTGATTTAAACGGCGCGCTCTTATCAACAAATCCGTCAACTTATGAGGGTGAGCAGTGGTCACATGGTTTAAAACGCGCAATGTTCAATTTAGATCGGTAACGCACATCTAAATATCTGCGCTTTACCTAGCAAACAAACTGATTGCTCAGTGCTTTAGAAGTTTTTTTTTAAACACCTGCATTAAATACTATATGCTACCTTTAGGTCTCAAATGAATCTAAGGTATGACGGTGCAAATAACCTTTCTATGCACCACGGGTTCGTGAATGTAATATGAAAAATTTAATGCAAAAGGTCATCAGAATTGGGTCTCTGGTGCCTTGCTATATTATTTTGAGTGTGAGTGCATTAATGCTTGCACTACGTTGAAAATAAGTCCTGCAAATGGCTTTACTGAGTTAAGGCAACTCAGCAAACAGACGCTTTTCCTGTGTTTCTGCTTTGTACAGGTTTTAGAAATCAAAAATTTGAGTCTTTGATCTAATTTCCCTCCTTGCTCAGGAAAAATTACAAAATTTATCCTTTCAGCTGTTCAGTTTTGCTCTTGTTTTGGCAGCTTTAATGCATGCGGCGGTGTTCGGAAACGTCACTACAATCATCCAGAGAATGTACACACGACGATCGACATATCAGACGAAATATCAGGACTTGAAGGACTTCACGAGGGCGCATCACTTGCCGAAACAGTTGCGCCAGCGGATGCTTGAATTCTACCAAGCCATGTGGTCCATCAATAGGGGCATCGACAAACAAACCGTAAGTGATATTGCATGTACCAACTCCAAAAACCCTATTTTATTAGCTTAGGCCTTGGTACGGAAATTCAGGAAGTCTAAATTATTAATTAGCAAAGCTAAATTTAGCGTCAGCTGATACTATTTAACTTGCTGTGTTGGGTTCATGGGTCTATCTACAAACAGCCAACAAATGTGAATTGTGTGAATTTGATGGATGAATGACATTCTTTTAAATCTTAAAAATGACATTTGGACAGTCCGCATCGTAGTAAGTTCGGGCAAAAATGACCTTCTTTGTTAAATAGTTGCCTCCTTTTCGTTCCTGTGAGGTGGTGCTTTTGTTCATTCACAGTTAACTTGTGCCGTTTGCAGAGGTTTAAATAAAACCGCTCAGAAAACGCCGATGACACTTTGTTTCGCTACCAAAAATTGACGCCGTATTTCTTAATCTCGGTAACTTTTGAGTGTCGAATGATTCTTGATTTGCGCTTTTAAATACTTTTAAATCATTCACGCTTTCTCCGCCTTTGCGTGTGAGCAGGTAAAATTAGACGCTCAGTTTGTGTTCTACAAAGTCGGGCTTTTATTTGTTTGGGAAAATTTGCAAAGCATTTAGCAGAAAATGCCACAACAGTTAAATCATGGTACTGATATTCATCGTTATAAGGTTTTTTCAAATGTTAACGGCTTTGACCAATGGTACTTGGTGTAGGCAGCAAAATATCACATACATTGGTTTGGTATCGTGTGCGATTAAAGGAAAATTGCTTCGTATATCTGTAGGCAATAGTTTATGACATTCATTCAATTGCTTGTGATTACACTGTTAACCAGCTCCAGAAGATAATAACTAGCATCGCTGAAATGTCAAAAGAATTTACAGCAGGCGCTTGACATGCTTAAAAAACCTCTTTCAGGCAAATTACATTTAATTTTTTTTAAATTAAATATGTGGAAAATGTTATTTGTTCTTTTGAGCATTTCGAAATGTCATTCTTCTACGATTAAGTGCATTGGGTGTTTTCGATTTTTAGAAATCTAATTTTGTTTGAAATAAGCTGCAGACGCCTTTAAAGTTTAGGCGCGGTAACGTTTTTAGCCTAAAATTTAAAATTACTCATGGAAGCTCGTGTTTGAGGGCATTCTAATTTTGATTTCCTTTGGCTATTGTAAAAGGAAAAGCAAAACTGGATGCTTTTTGGAGGTAAAATTAGCCTCAGCATTACCAACTTATGCATATTCAAAGAAAACTAATTTTAATTCAATAAAGTACGTTAAAACGAGTGTTCCTTTTAAAGGAAAAATTCTCTCAAAACCGACAATGAGATTGCACTGCTTTAATTAATGGATTGCCAAACAATGCAAATACTTTACGGCCTATTCAGGTTAGGTCTAAACAATACTGGAATGACTATTTAGGCGCTTACATACTTAGCCCAATTAAAATGATGCACAAGTCAAATTTATGTGGTTGATTGCCAAAATTTTGCAGTTTTCGTCGTGTGTGGATGGAAAATTGCAAATTGATGCATTTACACAATAAAACTGTCTGCTAGATTGGTGCCTAATCAGCTTAAGTTGACCGAAATTATGCTAGCTTCCCGTTTTAAAATTTTTGGAAGGAAGCTCAGAACTGAAATCATTCTAAGTTAAGTTACAACACGAGACATTCTAATATATATAGTTGTTCTAACTTGTAAGCCAGTACAGCGTCACATGCCAGTCGAACCGGTACATACCGTACAAATCGGCTTTGAACTTTACGTTGACAAGGGAGTTATTTTTTCTGTATAAAAACAGCTTTACGCTTAACGATGACGCAGTGCTGTGTTTGAAGCTTAAAAAAGTCACACACGCATTTGTTATTTATTTGCATTAATTCAAAACAGAGCCGCATTGTCTCTACTCCTATCATTTCATATTTTAAAATGACGGAGATTTTTTGTGTCCGTAAATGTCTGAATGCGATCAACAACTTGATTGTGAAATTGTGTGACTTATTGTAACTCGATTTGCGCCCCAGATAATGCAAGTCTTTCCTGAGGAGATGCGAGGGGACATTGCGCTGCACATAAACCGCGAGATGCTATCGCTTTCCGTCTTCAAGTCGGCAAGCATCGGCTGCCAGAAAAGCATTGCCCAACTCATCGAGACGCGGTTTGCAACGCCCGGCGAATTCCTTGTCCACAAGGGCGATGCCATTAAAAACCTCTACTTTGTGTGCAGTGGTTCCCTTGAGATTCTCGGGGAATCTGGCTCTGTGGTGGCTCTATTGGGTGAGCCTTTGTTTTACCTTGCAGTGTTTTTTCAGTCAGTCAAATTGATGAGTGTGCTAAATTTTCAGTTTTCGAAACAAAAATAATAGCAGAATTAGTGAAATTCCTCAATTGTAGCCACACTATCTCTTTAAAAACTAACCACTTTTTATCAATAAAACCTCTTACTACCGTTAAACCAAGTTGTGTTACGAACACTATTGCCTTGTTGAGCTAAGCTAATCGCACATTTTTCTCGTCATTCTTGTTATCGTAAAGGTGACTTATCTTTTTCTGCATCTTGGCCTGAAACCAGAGCAGGTTCTGACGCTAAATTTAAATGCCATGTCCGAAAACGATGAATCACATCAACGGATACCGAGGCTGACGAAACTGTTAAAATCCTCTGCCAAAAACGCCTTTCTAAAACATCACAGATGTAAATTTTATCAATCTCTTACAAGATCAAAAATGTAAATATGTTGAAAAAATTTTTTGAAAAGTGTGATGGCCTAAATGCGAAACTGTTTTAATATAAGACGCACAGTAATACTTCCAGCATTTATCAACATCACTAATAATCACGTGGTCCATTTGTACCCAAATTATGTTACGGAACGTGGCAGCTACGCTCTATTTCGTGTAGTCGCTACACCGATACACTAAAAGACAGGCAGCAGTCACATAAACTAGAAACATTTATTTGCAAACCATAAACCTTTGAAGATGTGTGTAACTATCCGTTTGCCTTGCTTAAGGGTGCGGCGGTTATAAAAACATTGCCGTAGGATGTCGACCGTGTTTAAGTCAGTTCTGTGGTGATACATTTAGCCAACAATTCCGTTAAAATCAGTCACATGCGAATAATTTAATCATAAATTACTTTTTTAGCAAGACACATCTTAACCAATTTATGTAAAATTTGTACTGTGCTTTTGTTAGGGCAACTTGCTGTTTAAAGACTATTTTAAAACATTGCGGACACTTCAACCAATCAACCGAATTCGCTGTTTATAGCTGCTGTAGCTGATTTCGCAAGATACCATTTTGCGTGTAGATCTCTTATATTATCAGATTATAAGTTGTTTTTTTTCTGGAAAAAAAGAGGCACCATCACAGAACGCCAACAATTTACGCGATTTTAGCTCTTTAGGATTATTCAGTAGTTCTTAGTCCTAGGCTAAACCAAGTAATGCATTGACATATCAAACTTGAATTGTAACGAAAACACAAATGTTGAGGTTCCAAGTTGATCTTCATTTCAGCAAGGGCACTAAACAATGTTGACTAGTTGAATGCGTTTTGTAGATAACACATTAATTATACACTGCGTGTTATGGTTTCAGTTTCGATCGCAAATTTAGTGATTTCTCAAAAGTAAGGAGGTTACTTGTAGTAGAAATTTAAATTGTGGTGCAGCTCCAGTCTGTAATTACACCTGAACTCCACTTACTTGTGAATTACACAACATTAGATTCTTTAAACAACGGTTTTCGGTTGATAACAAAATTGTTCTGACCCAGTCTTAGCAAAATGTTTCTATTTGGCGTGCTCTTTTTTGAAAAACGACCTGGGAATTATTTATCACTTGTGTTCTTGTAGCAAAAAAACCTGTATCTTACAAGACCTGACAATCCCTAAGTGCCGGTATTCATGCTTTTGTATTCTTCAGCTTCAACTAATTAAGATTTTATGAAAAAAGTCAGCAGTGCTCAACTGAATTTGTTTATTTTTTCCAGACTAAAATATTGCCCGCCAGATGTCTGCCTAAAATTTGAACAGAAGGCTTAACTTTGTGTACAACAACTGAGACATTTCAGTGTTTTGCCTTCGTATGATTCCATCGCAGGTAGAGAAGCATTTTTTTGTTTTCTGAGTTAAGCAAAATGTCTTGTAATTCACAACTACTTAGAGAAATTAAATTTTACTTGTTTAATTAAAATGTTTTTAAGGGAAGTGCGACCTTTTTGGCACAGACATCGACGACCGACCATTCATTGGCCTCTCTGCGTATGATGTAAAGGCGCTTACGTACTGTGAACTGCAGTACCTTGTGCTTGATTCAACTCTCTTCTGCATTCTGGATCTTTACCCTGCCTACTCCAAGGAGTTCTCCGCTGCCCTCCACGATGAACTCTCTTTTAACATCAAGGAGGGTTATGATCCGGTATGACCCCACGTTCTCCTCTGTCGGAAAATCATAAAATGCCTAACACATCATTCATTTGATAGCTCAGCATGGCTATCTAGCCATCTAACTGTCCATAACGGTTTGTTGAAGTGCTACAAACTGATGACTCAACAACTTCTCTCGAAAATGTCAGAAGTTTCTAGAAAGACCTTAAAAGATGCAATATCTCTACAGTCATAGACATCCGCTCTCTTTAAATGCATTGCGTTGTTTTTTAATTATTTTCGAAACTCAAGTACAACAATGCTATGCTAACGTGTTTAATCGTGCATAAATTCGGAGTGGACAGTAATATCAGCAGATTCTGGCAAAGGCTGAGCCTGAATGTCTAAATTAGGAAACGTTTGCCTAACTTTTCTCACCAGATTCACGAAACTTTATCACCGGAGTGAAGACTTGGATGCATTAAAAATCCCACAGATGAGCGCATCTGTTTTTACGACACCAGGGAGTTTATTTTGAAGGCCTACATTTCGGCCAAATTAAATTAAGCAACTTGCACAAGTGCCCATCACACGTGAATAACACTTCTTATTTGGCAAAAATCACTGTCACACGTGATTCAAGACGCTTGCACGATTTCAGCAACCTGGTTTTCTCAAATAACCGTGAAAAGGAAACGCGTTGGATCAACGAGAACGTCAATTTTGTTTGCATACCACCGTTAAGTCTCCCTGTGAATGGTAGCTGAAATCGCTGAATTTACAATTTGACTGTTGAGGTTTTTAACTTGACACGCTTCATTCCTCTCAGGCAAATTTTTCGTGTTTTCAAAAACGGTAGTCTTGTACTATGTAAAATTCTATGTTTGAGATAGTTGACACACAAAAATGGTTAGACAAGAGTCCTTTTTTTCAATCAATCATATAAAAGTTAGAGGGCTTATAAGAGTCCACTAGTCCAGTCGTAGCAGTAAAACCGGCTATGTAGAGTGATTCAGAATTTAGCGGTTGCTTAAAAATGGCTGGTGGAAACGCTATACTTTTTTGACGATCGACTCCGGTATTTTTCAAAGTATATGTGCATTAAACAAAGGCCATATTTAACGCATTCAAAGTAAGTACTCAAGTCACTTGTACACCTACAAGTTCTGTAAAGATCACAGCATCACACAGGCCTCCTTATGTCGCACAAGATTCCATAGCACTTGATCTTTCAGTGTTGACTTGGTCCTTGTTTCGATAAATGACAATACTACTTAGTATGGTAGATAAATATCTCCATTTGATGAGAAACCTAGCGATTGCAAAGTTATACTAATCAGGTATTGTGTAGCATTTTACAACTTATCTCTGAGAGGTGTTAATTGGGGGCCTCAGTGGGCTGCGAGCAGAATTACGATTAGACTTTGGTCTTCCAAGTCCTAGAAGCCCTTTGTATGAAATTAAGTCAGTGGTGCGATTGAGACTCCCTACTCTGTATCCTTAGTACTGTTTTAACATGTTACGCCATTCTTATCAATTGGGCTGAACGTTTTACAATGGGGTCATGTTCGTCACAGGACAGCCGATGAGTAGCCGTCTCTGTTAGTCATTGAGTGAGATTTTCTATCTGGAATATTAGCACATAATTAAACTTTTTTAACGAGTTAGTCAAGCAAATTGACACTGGTAATGTCTTCACATTTACTACTTGCTCTAAAGATGGCCACCCATCGCGCAGGCCATCATTCGACTTTCCAAAATAGCTTGCAGTGGATGTAAGAATCAGCGTTCATTGATGACTTAATTACCTCTGTCCCACTCGGAAAATTCCAGAACAAATGCATTACGTTTATTTACATTACTAAACCAACGATCTTAGATTGTGACTAGACATTTTCAGAAGCAGAAGTGTTCAAAGTAAAGACATCTTGGTTGACACTTGTAAGAATCCTGGGTGCAAACCAGCGTGTCGGATTAGAATTTCGGAGCAACATTGTGACGGAAAATTCAAAGGACGCCACCAGAATGCCTGCAGCCTTTCAATATCCAATCCGGTGGTCCTGTTTCTACAATTAATAAAACTCACTGAGTCACCAGAATTGAATTTGTGGCCAGCTGAACGGCATTAACTGTTGTGTGTAACACGGCAATAAGCGTTAGCCACGTGTAGAATCGGAACTGAACGGTTGGGCTTCTTTAACTCTTCTAGTTTGCACATGATGAAGTCGAGACACTGGCGGCAATAACAAAGCCTCAGTGCTCACCGCAGGAAAGTTCACGTGCCTCGTTGAAACCGCCTCTGGAAATCAGCTCTGGATCCCAAATCAGAAGCAGCGTAAGCAGCCTTCAGAGGTCGGTGGAAGAAGGAGATCCTAACCTTTCTCCAGATCCCTGTGGATCTCACGAACATCTTCTTGGACGTGCACGTGGTAACCGCTGGTATCTGCCCTCCTCTGTGGATTATGATGATCCGGACGAGACTTTTAAGCGAAGAGTTTCAATGAATGGTGCTGGTACTAAGATAGCCTTGACCTTGAGAGACAATCGACGTCATTTTTCCTTAGGAGAGATTTGTGATGGCAAAACCAATCCCCCCATAGGCCCGTTTCTCTCTTCGTGCCGGGAAAGTGAAGGCTCAAATTCGGCCAGACAACTGTGTTCGATGGAGGTAGTTAATGAAAGGTAAGTACTAAAGCCTTCAACACTTACAAACCAGGTAGTCATTAGAACAGTGCAGGCAGATTTAATGGCAACGAGTAGTCTTGTTTACCAAATTTTCTTTACATTAAATTAGTCTAGACGTAAACTTACCTTCAGTTGTCTCTGCAATCCATTTAAATTTTTTAACATAGGGATTTGACTAACAGGTTCATGCATCACAAGGTCCTGCCTCTATATAAGCATGCCTTATTATTAGGTGTGTTATTTAACTTGTACAGATTTCGCAATAAATTTATTTAATATGCAAAAATGTGAAATTTCAAACATCGTCTTCTGTGACCTTTATGTCTTCTCCCTGGTAACGTAAGATTTCCGTCGCTAAAGGAACTGTCAGGCCGCGAATCGATAAGGTCACTGACAATGTTTACACACATCGTCTAGCGTTTTAAGCTGTTTATCCACTAAGGAGTGCTGCTGCAATGACTGGAACAAATGGAACTCGAATGGGGCCAAGTCTGGTGAACATGCCACATGTGGCAGAACTTCCTATCCCACGTTCAAGAGGGTTTTCTGAGTCGCGCGAGCTACGTGAGGTAGTGCGTTGTCATGCGGTAGCAGTATGACTTGCCTGCTTCCTTGCTTAGTAAATAACTTTTTTGATCATGTTCTTCCCTCGGTTTGTGTTGGGTTACCCAGGATCTGCCCACGACACCTTTTTTGCGTTTGGGATGATTTATGCCTGAAGTTAGAAACTTATGTCTACACGAAAACTAGTCCTCATGCATTCGAGACTATGAAAAATATTTCCTGGTTATTCCCCTAGACAAACGAATTTCAAAAAAAACGTTTCCTGTGTTACCTGATGCAAGGCATTTTAGTCAAAATGCCAGTTCTATCTTACAACCAATCTTGCAAGGACAAATTCCATGAGCCTTTCTGAGCAAAACTGCCCAAGCAAGCACTGGTAGTGATGCCTTGCCACAGTGCCTTTTATCGTTCAAATTTATCTTGTCGGCTTCCTAGTTAATAATTTCTGTTGATATTTTAACAATTAATGAATTTGTTAACATGCGGTAAACGATGCGTGGGACTACTGAGATGGGTTTAAATTATCAATTGAGTAATGTCCTAAGCCAATTAGCTTGATAGTAAGGGCGCTAGCTATTTGATTGGCTGGCCAGAAGTGTGACGAAAATAACTCCACGACGAACGCGTTCTGAAGTTGCGTTTTACCATCAAACCTTAGAATAAATCAATTGTGACCAGTTATTGACAGTAAGCAGATTTGGTGCTAAGAGGTAGTAAAAAATTGATGCGTCCGATCAAAACGCTATATCATGAGCACAAATTGGTTGTTAGTACGAACTAAAATAAGTTACAAGCTATCGCCAAATGACGAACTGTAAGAATTAAAATTATCATTAAGTTTTGCCTAATTTTTACCTGAAAATAAACGAAATACAACTAGGCATAGGTCGACTTTCCAAGTTTTCCACCCTTGTGTGGTTTCGGGTATATTAACTATGTGTAACTTACCAGGTTTTACTATATCTGATTTAATGAATGTTAAAGGAATTATTCATAAATGTAAAGTCCCTATCCTACATAACTTCACGACTTATTATCCTGTACAACTATGCTATTACTGTAACAATAATTTGCTTAAACTGCGTGTTATCTAAAGTCTTCGAATCAAAAGTCTTCGAATTAGAAGGTGTGGATATTTAAACCTGTAAGTTAGCAGTTTATATAGAATTGGTCAATATCGACTTGTGAATGAATAAAGCTACGTGAGGTGCATTCGAGCAAGTCGGTTGTATTGTGTATGATCACGTTTACTGACAGTTTTTACTTGCTGGTCGCCACAAATTAGATACACTTTAAACTATGCATTTTTCATTTACAAAGCAACGGAACTAATATCATTAATTTGACAGTCAACAAATAGTTAAAAAAAACTTTGATTTTGTCCGAAATATTACACTTATTTAATGCTGCATTTCTAGGATAACTTATATATCTGTCATCGCGGTCCCTTCACTGACAAAATGAATGGTGACACGAGTTCTACACGGTAATTGAATAAATTGGACCATTTTCCTAGATATTAAACGTGTGTTTGTTTAATTTTCTTTATTAAAATGCTCAAAGCTGCACTTTAATTGGCCAACCATAATCGCATAGCAAATCTCGGCTGAACGTGTTACCAGAAAAGCGATTGGAGCAATGTGATATAGGTAATAAAGGGACTGTAAATGATTGAGGCTAACAAAAGTAGTGTACCTATTTCACAAAATTTTGCAGGTTTCTGAACGAAACGACACAAAACAGGGCTCCTCCACCATCCCCCTGCACGACATCTCTTCCTGCCGACCCCAGTTGCGAAGTCCAAGTCAGCAAATGCGAACCCGACGAGTTAAAAGACCTTCTCTGCAAACTAATTCAGGATGTCCAAGAAATGCGCGTTGAGCTTCGGTCACTGGCGACTGACGTCAGCATTCTGAAGCACCAGCAGCATCAGCAAAAACAGCAACAGCAACAAGATCAACATGTGACAGGCCTTAACTCTTCCCCACAGCGATCCGTTCCAAAAGCTAGCATCATGAAGTCGCCAACAACCCCGAATTTTACAGTGGACCAATCACCCGAATCGACTAACTCATCCGAGGATGGTTTTGGAAAGAAGGGTTCCCGAAGTCTGATATCGACGGGAGGAAATGTCTTCTTTAGCAGCACCTGTTCGCAACCCCGTTGCGTCAAATTCAATTTGCCGGAGAAACCTAGAAAAATCAATATGGAACGACATCTGCATGTGCTAGATAAACGTCGTGGTAGCTCAGAGGTGTCATCTAGTTCCTCCGACGCTCTCATAGGCCTGTCTTCAGCCGCAGAGAATAGAAAATAACACAATTATGATGCTAGTGAAAAACAGGGTCTTCATTGTGCATCATAAGAGTTGCTCAAGAACTACTAGTAGGCCCTACAAGCCACTTTTTGTGAGACGTACCTTCCTAGATTTGTACCATGGTAGCAGAGATACAGATTTACCCGAACTTCACAAATCCCCCTGCATATATGTACAGCTACTATTTTATCAATATAAAACACATTGGCAGAAAATTTTGTGGTCTTGTTTTGTTAGCCTAACAGCGAAAATTTCACTCTTCAGCACCAGTAATGCTAATGGTTAACAAAATAATCTTTCCCATTAATTAGTGTCGTAAATATCAAAAGTGACTGACAAAAACTATAAACCAAAAGACGTGATTGGCTGATTACCAAGAATACTGAGCATTCATTGGGACTTCAAAATCAATCAAAATGAATGTGAGGTGTGTTTTAAGGCTAGAATTGAAAGCATAATTACAATACATCTGTCAGATAATTGTTACTGCTCTGGCTGTTATAACACACATAAAAGGAACATCTGGGTTGGTTGATTAGATGTAACGGAGACAAATGCAGTTCCTTGATAACAACTACTGTTTATCACGCCCCATAAGCAAATACTTGTTTTTTTCGCACGCACGTTTTGCAGTTTTGAAGAACGCACGGTAGTAATTGCAGTAAAATTAGTTGGTTACCGTTAGGTGCATATTAATATGCTCGAGAGAGTTCTGACAGTTATCGTGCGTAAGAAAAATCTTTACTTGAATTTTTTTAACTTGCCCTCGAAAACGCAATTCCTTTTAATCGGATTTTGCAAATTCTAAAAGCATTTTTCGGCGAGAAATTGATTTTCGCACAAATAGTTTTAAACTTACTCAAACAGGTTGGTCCAATATAACAGCGAAATTTAGTATCGCTGAATGTCAAACACAATTTTTAAGCCTATTTCTAGTTTTTCTTAGTTTTCGTGTTTGAGGTAATTGGCTAAAGGTTTTGCAGGCGTTTGCATCTTCCCATGTGACCATTACTCCATATGTTGTGAGTGTACTGTTGCTACCTCTCTGGGACGTTTTCCACGAAACCAGGGTCACACACTTCGATAACCGGTGCCCAAGATCCATTGTCCGACTCCAGATTCCACCTTTCAAGTACAGGACAAATAGAAGATTCTATTCAGAGAGCTATTAATGTCTCAACCAGAGGCCAGGGATGACCCTAACCTGATGGATCAAGACGAATTACCGCAGATGGGACTGTCAGTAGGGCTCCGTCGGTGACTCCATCAGCTACGAAATCCTAACCCTCGAATGCCGAATCCACAGCACTACGTTGAACCAATTAACGTTTTTTTGCGGTTGCAGCAGAGCCAACATTCAACCATGAAAGCATTTCCACGATCATAAGGTGCCGGAACTATTTTCATTTGCTTAGGTTAACTGCGTTTGAGTTGATCTGATTAATTCAAATTTTAGAAAACCTACTCTGCTTCAGACAGCTAAAATATGTTTACTAGGTCGTCAAACTGCATCAATTCTTTAATTGTCTACTTGAGTTTCTTTGACATTAATCTACGAATGCTTAAATTAACTGTTTACCTTGGGCCTTAACGTGCTGTTGATTGTCTAGCGAAACTTGAATTCTTGCCAAGACACAAAAATTCGTAATTTCTGAGCACAGACCCGCCGAAATCTCAGTAAGCATAATTAGGTCAGTAAATTAAATTTTAACAAAACTATGAGCCAATCAACACCAGAGGCCTGCGTTAGCATATGACACCAGAGGTGGGATTCTGAGAGGATGATTGTGAATAGAAAAAAAACAATTTTACAGCACGATGGTTCACAAAATGACGAACAGGAGTGACAAAGATAGCTTACGATTTCAACCAGTAAGTAAAATTGGGATTGGTTGAGGTAAAGAATTTTTGATAGACCGACAAAGCTTGCTTCCACCACCGAAAAACTATGCAACTTTATGAGTAGCTAGCAGTCCTATTCACTTTAAGAAATACCTTATTTTTTTAGTTAATTCTACTCTTCTTCAAGACAATACATTTGCATATGAATTTATTTCGTGTTAATATTAAGTAATATATAGAATGCTCAGGTGTAAAATTCATTTCTGAGCGGATGTTTTAATAACTGACTTTTAAAAAGGTGGTAAACTGTCATTGTCATGCAAAATATCGGGCAAATTAATCTTCATTTTATGACAACACCAACTTAAAATGTACTTTTACCCTTTATTGATTTTTTGTCGCGTACTGCTTAAGATTATCTTGCATTTGTTTAAGTAAGGTAGAGTTGTGAAAAGGAATTGTGAAGCGGCAAAAGTGAAAGAAGACTACTTTATAGCTCATAAATAGCAGATTTTTTAAACGCAGCCATCATGCCTTGTGTGTGCTACTGTGATCCCCATCACAGCTCTCCGTTTCAAGCGGCGTGATGCTGTTTTTGTCTTTACGGCCGAATATGTGCTGACGCTTTGGAATCTTGTCTGCATGCATAATTTGTTTGAACTGTTCCCTTCGGATACACATCAACGATAAGGCCAAGACTTCTGATCTCGATCGGAATGAATTTGTGCTTAGTCTGGAATATATCTCGTATGCATTTTGACCTCCCAGCGCATGAACTTATGACCTGCAACTGAGTTTGGGTAGGATTTAGTACTCTAAATGTTTCAAGCTGACATTTGTTAAAATCTAAAGGGTCTAGCTACGACACTTGCAGCATTGTCTAATATTTTAGGGCCTAATTTTGAAAGCCACATCTATCAAGACACAACCTGATTCTGCCTTCAGAACTGGTTAAATTTTAAACAAAAATGAGCTGTGTGCTGTTTAAGCTGCCTTTGTTATACGGTTAGAACGTTCTACTATGCCGTTTGCTAGAGAACAGTAGGTCTTAGTTCAAATGCCCAGTGTATCCATGTGACGCGTGAAATCTAACTGCTAAACTTTCTTTTTTGTATAATGCTGAATTAGACTTCAAATCATGAAATTAATCTGCTGACAAATGTTCAAGTGCAAAGCGCTCGAAGCATGACAGTGGTTCTTGGTGTTTCGTAGATGCGAATCCCTTAGCTAACCATTGAAACCCTACGTATGTGCATCCACCTTGATCCATCAGTTCAAGGCCATACTTGATTTATATAAGTGGGCACACTAAGACGGATCACTTAACCTTTGTCTAAGGCATCAAAAGCCCTCTGCACTAGGTCATGGGCTGATTTACACTTGTTAATCCGGCTACTTTATCCTCCGACACAGGGTTCCACTTTTCGCAGCATGTCGTTAGCCGCAGATCCTCAACTCCTCCCCTCATTCGGACGAAAATATATCCTGAGTAATCACATACATAGGTCTCGATGGTAGCACATCTATGACTCACACATCTGGGTTATTAATGCACACGCGCCACCGCCACACGACACAACTAACCCAATTTGGATGAGCTCTGAAGTAAACGTTTGTGTTCGCTTCCTCTTCGGTCTTCTTTTTGAACGGGGATACCAAATAGCGTAATCGGGCAAGACGCAATTCAGTGGCCTAGGCGTAGTTAGGATTACATGCTGGGGCTCACAACATGTGGGGATCTCACGGCAGGCTATATTGACATTGAGTATAGTACGTCGCTGACCTTAAGCAGTCAAGTGTTAAATGTAGATTTCATAAATGGCATACAATCTGCAGTCACTTTTAGGGCCTACCGACACCTCAAATTAATGCCTTTTTACCATTAAGATATTAAGTAAAGAGCTCCGAAGATTATTGCAAAAATCATTAGTTTAAATATATCAAAAATCCTGCTTGTGCGTAATTCAAAAATAAAACCTCATCAAAAAGCAAATGAATACGATGTCAAAATTATGCAAAGCAAAAATGATGCCATCTAAGTGTAAACTCATATAATAGTGCAGTATTTTATGCATGTTATTTAATGCTAAAGACACTAATGGGTTTTAGAACATGTATTTAAGTATTTGTTAGTCAATTAAGAGACTTATATTTCATTGGACTTACTTCGAATACTTAACTACGTGTGTGAAGTTTTTACCAGCTTAAGATACATTTGTTTTCGTGGTCTTACATGGCACTAAAAGAATCGGATGCAGCGTTTCAGAGCCCAAAGCGCCAAGTCTACGTGCATTATATAACCACTAAGAATAGAGGAGATAACATTGGCTAAATTGATAAATAGCTCTTTAGCCGATATTCTTAGGAGAGGAGATTTTGATCTTAGTGACAAGCGGGACCTCGAACAGCGTAAAGGTAATCCAAATAATAAAGCATAAGTAAAAGAAACAAAAATTTTAACATGATAATCATTATGAAATGCGTCTTCCACAAAGTAAACTTCTGTCAGCGACATGACATATATTTCTAATAAACATTTAAAATTTTTTGTCAGGTGATGATAGCATTGTCAATTAATCTCAACCTTGTTATCAAAAAGTGTCTTTACTTAGAAACGTTAATTTAATGGCCCCAAAATTCATTACCCATTTAAAACCACTTTATTTGATGAAATGATTGAAAAGTTCCGCAGAATGACATTCAGAAAAATCCAATGAGAGCTTAATTGATGAAACAAACACTAAAGGCTAACGAAATAAATGTGATTATATCGATAACATTCGGATTTTTTTCAAACTTGCAGTATTTACTTCCACACATTTTCAGGTGACATTTATTGAGAAATCTTGGAACCAATGCAAATGAAGTAAAGTGTTTTTACGCAGTACAGACACTCAAAGTCACTTAGTACACTTTTAGAACTGCAAAAATAAAAATTTTGGAGCAAAAATGTTAATTAATAAGTTAGAAATACATATTTTCTGTTTAGTTGAACATCAAAAATAAATAAATCGTCATTCAGTAATATTCGCTAAAAAAGACACTTTAATTTGTCAACTCAGTTTTGCCAATTTCTAAAACAATTTTGCATTCGAGCACAGTTGCAAAGTACAGCGTACTTGAAGGTATAACAAATGTTGGGCTTACATCTGTTGAAAAGTTTTTGGATAATTCGTTTTAATTTCTGCCTATTAGTGGCGTTGACTCAACACGACCAGCTTGTGTGTGATTTGTCTTGATGCTTCTGGTGTTTGAATATATCGCATTTATTTAATTATTGTCGGTAAAATAATTATTGGTAGCTGGCTCCAGTGCATTTAATTTTTACATGGCATAATTGTGTCTGTCTCTTAATTTTACCTGGCCCGTGCATTGTCTGCATCTGACTTATTTGTCGTGTAAATGTTTAATGCATCCAAGCTTTTGCATACTTATGTTTCAATGGCGTATCCTAACACTTTATAACTGCACATATTAGCACACAGTCATTTTTTTATCAAACTGTAGCGGTCAATAGTACATAATGCATTTTGTAAGCATCCTTGTTTGAGGTTTTTTTGTTGTTGCCGAGCCTGTTAGTGCTTCCTACTCCAATTTTGTTGTTTAACATTCACTCTTTTTCGTGTATTTTTACTGCCTCAGGCTTTTGAAATGGATTCGTTTGGGTCTGTTGACAAATTGGAAGGTTCAGATCTTAAAGAAAAAGGTGGTCTTGTTTTCCCTAAACGCAATTCAGGCGCATCGAGCACGTCAGATGCGTTTAAAAAACCAAAATCCTCGGTTTTTGGCCTCGATAAGCTTGCTGCCAAAAAACGGGCTGAGTCGCAAGGCACTCTGCCTTCTAACCCCATCTCCAAACAAAGGTAGGCCAACTTGAGCTTCCACGTGTCAGTTGTTTGATCTCTCCATGCGTTTTTATCCGGTTCAGTCTGTTGTTATTTTTGACCCGCAGAAATTATCGCGAACCACGAGTGGAGACACCTTCGTACGGGGGCGGGGTTAGTAAGGACTATCTAGATTCTCAAATGTACAAGAAAAGCAGAGAAAAGGCTGGCAAATTTAAAGCCGGTCTTGCCTACAAGACTGGCGACCCATTCAAACACAATGACAAAGGTACGTGGGGCTGGTTGACTTGATTCCGTTGGTGAAAACTCGTTTCCTCTAGAAAAGTCTTGTGTTTACTGTCTACATATTGTTCACTCATATTTGGTCATAGACCCTCACTATCTTTTTATATCGATTATTTTGCAAGCTTTTGCCTACGAGAGGTTTGGGAATTTTTCGTCCACAGATATTTTAATTTTCGTTTTACTTAACGTTGTCGATGTGGTAATCAACTGATAGAATTAGATTGGGAGTCAGTTTATACAACCTTCCCTAGGTTTGACATTTTTTCCTAAATTATATAGCGTTGACATCATGGAAAGTTTTGGGGTAACTTAGTGTGGCATCGTCGTGCTAATTTATTTTCCTTTTTATTTAGACCGCCATCGAATGCAAGATGATGACCGTGATCACCATCGCCACCAAAGTGGCAGAAACGAACGAGCCTCCAGCCGAATAGGAAGCGAGGAGAGTGCTCGAAGGATTCGTGAACGCGACTGGGAAGCCGAGACACCGAGAAGTGGTGACAGCAGCCATCGCTCCCACGGCACCTCCTCGTCCTACTCGCGGTACATTGAGACGCCTCGTCACCTCCGTCCGTCTGACACACCCACTCCTTCCCGCTCTGCGGCTTGGGAGAATGATGATCTGTCGGAAAAGAAGCGTACCAGATACGATTACACCCCAATGCAGACACCATCCTTCATGCACAACTCCTGGATGAAAGGTGGAGGAAGGGGCAAGCAGGTGGCACCGACGCCGGCCACAGGAAATCAGACTCCCTTCACTCCCGTTGACCCACAAGAAATGGAGGCGGAGGCAGAACGACTAGACAGAAATTGGTACCTGATGGATGATGGATATGACGAGGGGAACAATCCATTCATAGGTACGACACATTGTCGTCCAAGGGCTTCTTGAGTCTTTTTATGCCTCACGAATTGATCTCTTGATATTGCCTTTCGCGTAGACGTTCCTGACGAGTATGTGGCGAAAAGGGAGCGTCAGCTGGCCGAGGCGCGGAAACGGAAGATTCGAATGTCGGCCCGAGCAGTGCAGATACAAAAAGAGAACCAGGCCTGGGAGATCAACCGGATGCTTCGCTCCGGGGTTGTGGAACGAATTGCTGGCGCAGAGGGTGGCCTCGATGAGGAGGACTTAGACGAAGAGGGAGAAGCAAGGATACACTTGCTAGTAAAGAATATCATGCCTCCGTTTCTCGATGGACGTATTATTTTCACCAAACACCCGGAGCCAGTTCTGCCTGTAAAGGTAAGCCATCGCTTGCTGGTCATTTTATAAGTTCTTGAATCTGCGTTCGTCAAATTTCACCTGGACGTTCACCTACGCGTCGTAACCATTAATGCAGGTTGTCCTGTTTGGAGGTTTTTCTAATTTACAAATTAAAAGCTCATTGCTCATTGTGGTTATTTGTGTCTAAGCCCGAAATATCTTTAATCGTAGTTCCGAATGTTGGTTTTTCTCCAGATGAAAGTTTAGACATTCAAGTGGTAGGGCTCAGTTATTGGTTTGGGTGAATAGTTGGTTGAATTGCCTTCTTTGTCTGAACGTGTAGAAGACCTTGACGTTGAGCGTCGGTGGAGAACTTTGACTACTTCGTTGCATATTCAACCTGTCTATCTTAAGTTTCAACGCGTTTTAGTTTTCTAAGAGATTTTTGCAGCCACTCCTTGATTATTCTTTGATTACCCACGTCGTCACAAGCAAACGGTGTCAGAAATGTCACTTCTCAAGGGTGTACAAATTTACTTCTTCCTTCGCGAATGCTTCCTGACCTGCCAATTTCAGCAATGGCTGCTTAATGCGTTTATTGTGGGCCCCAGCATGTGGTCTTGCACCACGCCGGGACCACGGAATTAACCCTGGCTCGATTACGTTTCCCTGAATATCCGCGATGAAGAAAAGGACCAGAGAGGACGAGGACACAACCCTTTACCCCAGAGCTTAACCGCGTTGGTGTCGTTGTGTCGTGTGTGGTGTTTGCGCGTGTGTCTTTCTACCTCGGGTGTGTGAGTCGTACATGCGCTAACATCGAGACATGTGTGAAGAGGGAGTTGAGGATCTGCGCGGCTGGCGACATGCCGCGAAAAGGGGGACCCTGTGTCGGAGATGTAGTGACCGGATTAAGGGATGTGAATAAACATGACTCACGACACGTTCTCATCTATTGATTTACTACTACTACTAATATCAGTGTTGTTAGTAATGATAATACTTTGTTTAAGGATCCTGACGGCGTGATGACCAAGGTGGCTGCCAAGGGCAGCGCGATGGTGCGCTACTTCCGCGAGCAGAAGGAGCGCCGACGCGCCCAAAAGAAGGAGTGGGAGTTGGCTGGCACGCGCATCGGCGAGATCATGGGCATCAAGCAGGCGGACAACGAGGAGGGCGACAAGTGGCACGAGGGCTCTTACCGCGAGTCGCAGACATTCGCCGACAAAATGGTCGACCAGAAGGACCAGGCGGTGTCGGCGTTCGCGAAGCAGAAGACCATCAAGGAGCAGCGCCAGTACCTTCCCATCTTCGGGGTGCGCTCGGCCCTCCTACGCCTCATCAAGGAGCACCAGGTTCGATTGATATGCGGAGCTTTCCGTCTGCGTTATTACATCTGACGTTGGTGTGACACTTTGGCTTCTTTTTTGCAGATTGTCGTAATAGTTGGCGAGACGGGCAGCGGCAAGACAACCCAGTTGACCCAGTACCTGCACGAGGAGGGTTTCACCAACTACGGCATGGTTGGCTGCACACAGCCGCGTCGCGTCGCCGCGATGTCAGTGGCGAAGCGTGTCGCGGACGAGATGGGCGTGTGCCTGGGCGACGAGGTGGGCTACGTGATCCGGTTCGAGGACTGCACCAACGAGAAGACCGTCATCAAGTACATGACCGATGGTATCTTGCTGCGGGAGTCCCTTCGCGAGTCCGATCTCGATCCGTACTCGGCCATCATCATGGACGAAGCCCACGAGCGCTCCCTCAACACGGACGTCCTTTTCGGTCTCCTGCGAGAGGTAATCTCTAGTGCTTTGGTGGCGCTAGCAGGATCTGTTGTGAATCGTGTTTATTCAGCTCCTTAATCCGGTCACTCCAGCCTCCAACACAGGGTTCCCCTTTTTGCAGCATGTCGCCAGCCGCGCGATACATCAACACCAACGTGGTTGAGCTCTGGAGTAAACGGTTGTGTCCACGCCCTCTCCAGTCTTTTTTTTCATCGCGGGTGTCAGGGAAACGTAATCGGGCCAGGGTTAATTCCGTGGCCCCGGCGTGGTTCAAGACCACATGCTGGGGCCCACAACAGATCCTTGTTCAATAATTTGTACTTCCAGTCACCATCTTCGAGATTGTTGATCATTGGTTACTTCGAAGAGCTACTTCACGAAGCGTTGGATGTTGTTGCTTCTGGTTCAAACCTCAGTGTGATTTCCGAACCAAGAATCCTTTCTGGATTCCAAATAGTGTTCCTTGAATCATTGACGCCTCATATACCAACTGCTGTGAACAATCCTTTCTGCATTGGATAGTCTCCTCGTTTTGCATGAGCGGGATAATAACTTACCCATCCACAGACTACAGATTATTTCTTCTAGTAGTATACCTCAATTTTGATTTTTTTGTTTTTTTTTAGATTGTAAGTCGTCGAAATGACTTGAAGCTGATCATCACCTCGGCTACAATGGACTCGGAGAAGTTCGCGCAGTTCTTCGGTGACTGCCCGATATTTCACATCCCCGGCCGAACGTTCCCTGTGGACATCCAGTTCAGCAAAACGCCCGTCATGGACTACGTCGACGCCGCAGTCAAGCAAGCCATTCAAGTCCACCTCGGCGCGCCTGAGGGTAGGGCTCTGTCTGATTACTCTGTTTCCTTAGCCTCGCAAACGCGCGCAAGCTAACACGAGTCCATGCGACTTCCAGGTGACATTCTCGTCTTCATGACCGGCCAAGAGGACATCGAGGTGACGTGCGAGCTCATCGCTGAACGTCTGGGCAGTCTGGACGAGGCTCCGCCACTCTCCGTCCTCCCCATCTACTCCCAGCTGCCGAGCGATCTGCAGGCGAAGATCTTCCAGAAAACCGAGGACAACATTCGCAAATGCGTCGTCGCCACCAACATCGCCGAGACCTCACTCACGGGTAGCGTTGTGCCCCCCTTCTCGCTTCACTGCGCCTCCACGGTCGTGTTTGGGTAACCTGTCGACTTTGTTTTTCTAGTCGATGGCATCCGCTATGTGATTGACGCGGGCTACTGCAAATTGAAGGTCTTCAATCCGCGCATTGGCATGGACGCTCTCCAGCTGTTCCCCATAAGCCAGGCCAACGCCAATCAGAGAGCTGGTCGTGCAGGTCGCACGGGTCCTGGGTATGGGATAAGTTTGTATACATGTACTCCTTGACACCCTAGCTAGTTTGATTTTTTGGGTGAGATAATCGTAACTGCTGTGCTGGTGTGTTGCAGTGTGGCCTACCGCCTCTACACGATCGGTCAATTCGAGGAGGAGATGCTTCTGTCCTCCGTGCCGGAGATTCAACGCACCAACTTGGCCAACGTCGTCCTCTTGCTCAAGTCCCTCGGTGTTCGTGACCTCATGCGATTTCACTTCATGGACCCGCCTCCACAGGTTAATCCACATTTTTGTGGGCTCAGTCTCCCTTAGAAAAGTGTGAATTACGGTTGATATCTCTGTTTTTTCCCCAGGACAATATTCTGAATTCAATGTGCCAACTCTGGGTGTTCGGCGCCCTCGACAACACGGGCGGTTTGACTCAACTGGGTCGGCAAATGGTCGAATTCCCCCTTGATCCTGCGCTTTCGAAGCTCCTACTCGTGGCTTGTGATATGGGCTGCTCCGAGGAGGCCCTGACCATTGTTTCCATGCTCTCCGTACCGTCGATTTTCTTCCGTCCGAAAGGCCGCGAAGAGGATGCCGATTTGGCCCGGGAAAAGTTTCAGGCAAGACACACTTGCTACTCTTTTTGTATAAGTAGCTCGTTATTTGCAAATGCCTACTAATGACCCAACCTGTAATTGCCGTTCCAAATTCTAGTGAACTTTGCTGGTTATAATTTAATTATTGTAGGTCCCCGAATCGGACCACCTTACGTACCTCAACGTCTTCATTCGCTGGCGTAAATCAGGGTATGGCATGGCTTTGTGGTTGTTGTGTGTTGGTGGTTGATTCGCCCTGTGCATTTACCGCGGCGTTTCCTCTATACCTTAGTTACTCGCCGTCCTTCTGTACGCGCAACTTCATCCACGTGAAGGCGATGCGGAAGGTGCGTGAGGTCCGTCAGCAGTTGAAGGAGATCATGGAGCAGCACAAAGTGGCTCTCTGCTCAAGCGGCACCGACTGGGACGTTGTCCGGCGCTGTCTCTGCTCCGCATTCTTCCATCAGGCGGCCAGGATAAAGGTCCGTCGTTCGATGTCGATCGCAGCACCACAATCGCACACGACCCTCCTAACATAACTACTTAATCGTTGTTGTGAGTATTTAAGTAGTACATCAATTTCAGCGTTGTTTCGTCTTTAGGGTCTAGCTGAATACGTGAATCTGCGCACTGGCATGCCGTGCCGACTGCATCCAACCAGCTCCCTCTACGGAATGGCCTACACGCCCGACTACATCATCTACCATGAGCTGGTTATGACCTCGAAGGAGTACATGCAATGTGTTACCGCTGTCGACGGCAATTGGCTTGCTGAGTACGGGTCGATTTTCTACAGGTTAGTCGCCTTCTGCGTAACAGTGGTGCTTTGCTTGACCAATGCACTGTCATTGGTGGGTCTTGGTGTAAAATGAGCGCAACGATTGGTCGCGCATTCCCATTGGATGATGTTTCGCTTAACCAATAGCCTGTTTCCTCCACATCACTGTGTTTTACTGTTGGTCTTTTGTACGTCCGTGTTAGTGTGAAGGACCAGAGCCTGAGCAGAGAAGAGCGCCAACGACGCGAAGAGGCGGAACGCGCTGAAATGGAGGCGGAGATGAAGGCGGCGGAGATTCAGCTGGCTCGCCACAAGGACGAAATCGACCACTCAATGAGCTCCAGTCGAATGTAAGTCCCGACGCAGACTCGTAACTGCTTGGCGAGTATTTGAGTGTTCGAAGGCCAACGGTTGTTGATATTCTACGTACATTGGCACCGGTTGCAATAGGGTAGCCACAGCAGTCACAGGGAGGCGGTGGTGTCGGTAGAACTTGCTTTTCTTCTAATAGACGTGTGTATGTCATTTTCCTTTTTCAGACACCCGATCGCAACTCCGGGCTTCCGAAAACCGGGAACTCCTGCTGTCTCGAAGCGTCCTCGTGGTCGTATTGGATTGTGACCATCTTTCTCCCCATTCTCTCCTTGACCCCTCTCCTGTACATACTAAAACAACTTAAATAAAGATGTTTTTAGTGCTGTACATGCTTGTTTTGGCGTGTGCTTTCGGGTTTGACGTTGGTAAAAGAACTGCGCATTGTGTAGATGCTGCCTTCATTGAAGTTGTGTGCTTATGCGCGCTATTCTCAGTTTGCGCACAAAAACGTTTGGTACAAAGTCCGCGTTCCACATGTCAACTATTTACACAAGGTGGCTAGCGATGAGTCGATAAGTATTGTTGCGGCGCATTTTTGTCTAATTGGATGGAAAGCGCCTTCAGTTTGCATTTCTTGTATACCGAATTAATCAGCACACTTCTAGCAATTGACCACTTTACCACAGTATTTAATGGCTTTAGACCTGTTGCATAACTTTTGCTTGGGTGTATCGATCATTGATGATGTTGATTCTTCGATCTCTTGCCATAATCTATCGCTACACAAGTCCATAGAAATGGGAAGCCGAGTCAAGTCTAATTACCATAAGTGTATCACCTGTTCGCCGCAGAGCGGAGCACGCCTTTGACGCAGTTATCATACGCCCGTGCGTGATATTAAGTGGACACACGTGGGTGTAGATCTCTGTTACACAGTTTTTCTGACAGGAACGCTTGTTATTTTAAGACATCCATGGACGCTAACACGGACAATTCGACGATACACAAGGACGCTAATGAATTTGAAGAATTTGCAAAAGAAGGTAACGCGTAAATATTGTCTGGTAGGCAGCCATTTCCGAAATTCATTGTTCACTCTTGACGCTTTTACTTAAGTGTGTTTTATGTGGGTAGTCGCATTTTTTCGACATAATGACAATCTTAGTACTACGGATACCTCTCCTAGTATGATTCGTTGCAAAGAAATCTGAATTGCTACGCTTTAGAATGGGATGCCAGTGAAGAAGACCCAACAGATCAGAAGGTTTGGGACGACGAGTGGGACCACGCAGGTTTCGACAACGACGAATTCACTGATCGCCTAAGGTATTGTCCTCGTTTGTAACTAAACTATGCGCTCCATTAGTACAATGAAACCTTGTAGTTCGGAGTTGTTTCGGCGTCAAAGCTGCTTATATCCGTTGCTAGGGTGACATCTTAACATGCTGGAATCGTGAGTTCTGGTTGTCCTTGGACGATGGAAGTTATTAACGTGTATTCACCTCATAATGCAATCTGTTATGTTATTTCATATTGTTCTGACTCTGGCACCGTGGCAATAAACACGATTTGACGTCCCGATTCCTGCATGATTAAATGATGGTTTTTTTCTGAAAACTGATTTAAAAATGCGCCTAAATACGGGCATGTAAGCAGAGTGGTACATTGACAACCTTTTTTTTTTAAATACTCAGTTATTCTTTTTGTTTGACATTGCGGTACTGTTAACCGCCTTTTTTGGGCAAATTTTAGGAACGAACTACAGAAGCTTGGGTACTTGTCGTAGTATTTGTACAGCGTCTTACAAGTACGCAAATACACGAGTGAAGCGATTCCCGTCCTTTTGCTCTGTCAATTACGCGGTATCTTGCACTACTTATCCGTTATCCAGCGTGAGAGTTTTTTTTATCTCGCAAGCACTGACCCACACTGACCCATATGGCCTAACATCTGCTCACAATCTTATCTCGTAGTGCCTCTTGGTTTGGTAAATTAGCTTCTCACCTCCGCGCCTGTGCGATCGCGCTCTGTAGTCTTTTGTGCTTAGGTGGTAATTGTTAGATTTGCTTCACGCACTTGGCTGGAAGTTGGAGTCGACAGGCGTGTGCATTACCCCTGGTAGGTTGTCATCTTCTGACTGTTGATTATGCCTACACGTTTATAAATCGCTCCACTTTTTTTAAAAAAAATGAGGAAAATTTACAGTAAATCTGCCTTTTTTTGAAAATAGAGGTCTGTATTACAGTTTATCTGAATGATCTAGCTGCTGTAGCTCTGGTATTAAGACATTCTACGACATCTACTACAGATGAAGTGCGGTAAATCCGGGTTGTACTGGGCGAATGGAAGCCATTTACACATGTTGTGATTTGTGTGGCCTGCGTGTCTGCAGCTAGTCGTTTAAGTGCTCTGTAAGAATGGTTGCAGCTTCATTAACTCAGTTCAGTGCGGTTGGACAGGAACTAGACGCGTGGACTTCTGTTGGTACATATGGTGGGGACACCACACACATCGTTTTCGACCTTTTTTGACGCATTTTCGAACGGTTAGCCTCGTAATTGCTCGATTCGAAATGAGCTAGTACAAGGACTTCTTAGTCGGACAAACGATGCCTTGCCTCCCGATGCGTCAGGCTGCGATTTCGACTCCCTTCTGGTTGTCCGTCCTCATGAATTAACTTGTACTTCAATTGACCGTTCGATTAATCAATCGCAGTTACTGGAAAACCCGTGAAAGCCGTTGAAACCTGAGTCTACATTCGCTAACCCCTAAGCCCGCACACTCAGCGGGACGGCGTGTGCGCCAGTTGTGTTGCCGTGCCAACTCGAGCAGCCCGCAGACACGCCCATACACGTACCCAAGGAAGAGCAAAAGGCCACCAGCTTTTAAACAAAACTACACTGCACTTCCACTGTTTCGTCTTTCAAAAACACCTGTTTGATTACGTGTAACACGGGAGTTAGCCACTTTGACAATCCGCGAAAACTTGTACCTCGAGCTACGGAAAGTAACTGCCGTGAATCGTGTTTATTCAACCCCTTAATCCGGTCGCTCCACCTCCTACACAGGGTTCCCCTTTTCGCAGCATGTCGCCAACCGCGCGAATCCTCAATTCCCTCTTCATTAGCACGAATATTTATCTTGGAGTATCCCCACACCTAGGTGTCGATGCTAGCGCATGTATGACTCACACATCCGAGGTATACACACGAGCAAACGCCACACCCGACACAACGACACCAGCGTGGTTGAGCTCTGAAGTAAACGGTTATGTTCACGTCCTCTTTCGTCTTCGTTGTCGTCATCGCGGGTATCATGGAAGCATAATTGGATCAGAGTTAATTCAGTGGCCCCGGCGTGGTTCAAGACCACATGTTGGGACCCAAAACACAACTTGGGATAAACCCCTCTATGCTGCCTACGCCACTCTCGACTTGGTTTAATTGCTTTGAAGTTAAATGCCTAAAATCTGTGTTGATTGGGAATTTGAGTGCGTGATTAGAAGCCCGTTTTTCAACACATCATATTCCATAACACTCCACAGAGTGAGCGTATTGTGGTGCCTTGGTTAATGCTGCCATTGCATTTGGAACCGTTCACAACGACGTACTCCTCGAAGACATGATATCATTAAAAAAAACATTCCGGTGGCCTTTGATCTGTGATTGTTGCTTATTGAGCACTTAAAATGCCACGTTTTGAGCCAGTGTAGTTAACACAATGGTGGGCGAGTTCCGAATGTCGCGATATCTAGTTAACGTTTGGTGTTGGAACGTTTTGTTATGTAAGACGACACGTATACGTTGTCTTTACGGCGTCGGCGTGTGAATTGGAGCGTGGGCGTCAAGTGTGTTCTAAACCTACATTGTTTACGACATCCAAAAAAAAACAACCAACCCGCGTCAAGAGAAACCAACGTAGACGCCGACGATTCCCCAAGCTGTATCGGCAGGTGATTGACTGTGAAAAGGGACATAGTGTTTTGAAAAATCGAGGCTTTTTGGAGGCAAAATCCCACAGAGACTTCCAGTTCCGTCACTTTGTAGGCACACACTTATGTCACCCATGAGTACTATCCACTTAATTGCGAGATTGCACTAAGAGGCTTAAAATATGCCGCAAATGGAGCTTAATTGGTAGTCAAAGACGTCATTCAAGACGTTAGCATCAATGCATACCTGAGATATTGCAATTTTACAAAGTAGAGAAACTGACAAGTTAATCCAGAATAAAGTCAGAAAAATAATGTATAAGAATGAACAACGCAAGTAATCAAGTAATTCGTCGGAGTTGGTCGGGCATTCTTGGCTGGAACGCCTTGTTAGTTTCCGGTAGTCGACGGTGCAGCAAGTACGCAGCGAGGGCAGTTGTCGCACTGTAGAACAGGAATACGTAAATCTCACAGCCTTCACCTCCGAGGGCATTCACAAGGGGCTGGAAGGTCTGGGTGACAAGGAATGAAGTGATCCAGACTGCAGCCACGGCGGCACCGCCTGCAGCTCCACGATGAGTGGTGGGGAAGAGTTCCACGGTCACCAACATGGCCAACGGACCCCAACCACATTGGAAACCGAAAAGGAAGGCCACCAAAGCCACGAAAGACACCAGGGGTGATAACTAGGATGAGAGAAGACGTGTTGGTGTAAACGGCGATTCAATACCATCACAAATTACCACGACTTGACACTTCTTGTAGACAAATGCTGAATTAAATGAATTGAGAGAAGAAATTACCGAAGAAGGGATAGAGAGAGGGGGGAGTTAGAAAACCGCCAAATCAGACCCGAGGCATAGCGGGGATCAAGCTGGGGGAGTCGGTGAAGGCAGTGTTGGTCTCGGGGAGTCGGCGGTAAAAGTACACCGAGGCCAGGGCAGTGAGGAGGCAGAAGAGGGAGAACACGAAGATCTCTCGTCCCAGGAGGTTCACCAGGGTCTGGAAGGACTGCGTCACCAGGAAGGTCACCAGCCAGGAGACGGCGACAGTTGCGCCGCCGGCAGCTCCGCGCACTGACGCCGGAAAAAGCTCTAAGGTGATCAACATCGCCAACGGACCCCAACCGCATTGGTAGCCGAAGAGGAAAAAGGTTAGCGCGGCTATGGGCGGCACCGGCGCGGAAGTTGGAAACTACGCGAGGTTGGGAGGTTAAGGGAAGGAGGCTTAGCAAAGCAGGGTTGAGTAAATGGACCTACGATTTGTTAGTTCACCACTCAAGAACCTCTTGCTACCATGACACGTTTGATCAATTATGAAACCACCGTTCATGATGACGTTAAAAGCGATAATGACGATGGTTGCTGATCGGTGTGTGATTCCCCCCAAGTTGTCCGAAGCAGGAACACCCCCCGCGGTAGCATCGACGCTGATCTACCAATACGGATCGCAGCAGAGAGGTCGATTGAGCAAGTTACAAGGCAGTACGCGTGAGTCTGGAAAAACGATCACATGTGAACGCTCACATTGACAAGTAAAGGGTACATCAACGGCCCGAAGTGTGGCGACGCAATGAAAACACATCAATTTGTTTAAGTGGAATCACTAGACAGTATGGAAGCCTCACATTTACTTTCTTGGACGAGGTTAAGCAAACTAGAAAGAGCTATTGCAGGTGGATCTCGCCATTGCAATGAACCGAAAACCCACCTCTTGGATACATGCTAATGTGTTTTGTATTGCAATATCTTTAGTGACCAAAGGTAACGTGCAGCGATGGATCACGATGGATCATTGCTACAACTACACAACAGTCAAAGCTGCTCTACTCTACCTCTGGATCAGCCGATTCAATGACACAGGATCTCGCGCCATGCCAATTGAAATGAATTTATCCATTTGTCCAAAACACACAAATCGTTTACTAGGTGTCTTCAAATCAACTTTAAGGGGTTTCAATCAGACAAGAAACCGTCAAGACAAGCAACACTTCGAGCGTTTGATCCAGATCACGTGAATCGCGAATGCTTCAATTACCCCACCCAAGTAACTCGACGGTTTTACAGACAATCGTTTTGAGTGGCCTTCAAAACCAATTTGGGGAACTTCGTCGCTTAACGAGAAATTGCGAATGAGAAAACAATTTGATCAATTTTCTTTACTAAACAAGCAAAAAATACGCGAAAGGTCACCTGGTTGGGGTTTAGAATGAATTTATAGATTAGAAAACTAGAATCAGAAGGGCATATTTTGTCTCCAGCAGGGACAAAATATGAAAACACCAACTTGTTCTGTAAGGACCACATTTTCGAAAAAAGACCAATAACTGTCCCTCATGGAGATCCTTATGGCTAAAATTTACAGGTCTACAGGCAATGAAATTTTTCACGGTCAAGAAAAACCCACAAGGTACTGTCCTTTGGTATCTAACTACAGACAGATGAATAGATTTTATGCGACCTTTATAAAATACATAAAACGAACATGACTAAGTGATAGTGATTGAACATAATTCTAAAGGGCTAAACATGCGCAAATTCATCCAACACACAATCTAGATAATTTTCTGCCGACACCAGGCGCGAGCTGTGGGTTTTCGTGTCCTCTTTGGCTTAGATAGTCGGCTGGGTCACTATTCACTGGGAAAACGAGACTGTGCCCTTGTCGAATCCACTTTTATCGTGTTAGCTAACACACGCGACTTAAGCGATTCATAGCACTAGTTTTTTTCTCTCTAAATTATCATCTCGGCTGCATTTTATGTGCCCAAAGCTCTACATTAGTTGTCGCCGCGAATTGGCGAATGTAGATTAAAGGAAAGGCTGCTGTCCTGCGCGCAGAACTCTGCTAGTCTCTTGTTCAGTTCACAAGCATCTTCTCGACCGAGTATTCAGAAAGGCTACTACAAAGTTAATCCTATGGAACTCCAGGTTCCACGATGGGCTAGGTTGTGGAAGCATCGAAAATGGATGTTGCTGGGTGATTGTGAAGAAACATAGTTCCAAAGTATCGAATATTACCAGAAGTCTTCCAAATCAACACCCTAAAAAGTCACTCAAATGGGATTTCAGTTCTGTGAACACATGATTTTACCCGCTACGTCACACAAAGAGCGGGATTAAGCACGTTAGAGGTCATTTTTGGCCAATATATCTCATGAATCTAAAAAAGCCGATGTGCACATTATGGCGCTGTTTGCGTTGCACGCACTAGAAGGCAATCAAGCAGGCTGAACCACTGATCTGCAGGCATCTGTAACACCTACCTCGACAGCGAGGGGCCTGTCGTTGTTACAAACTACACGTGATTCGCCCTGGCATGCGTGTGCACGAACACTTCAAGATAGAGACCCCATTCATAAAGTAAGATACGCTTCGACAACCCTCAAACCGCAAACGCGTCGGGAATGCCGGTTTTGCAAATTTTGAAGGCCAATTTCCATTTCCCGTCTGCAAAACCTCATCACCAAGCAATTTTCCAGGGCATCTTGAATCAGCTATGCCAAAACGTTTGCCGTAAGTTATGCAGAGGTTCAAGAGTAAGGCTGATTATTGATGCGCGTAGTTGCTTCGACGAATTCACCGTATCCGTGGCGATATCAAAACCATGAACCAATACATTTCAGCACATATAATTTGCACGTTGCGTGCCAACTTAGTTAGGGGTTGCATCTTGCACGCCAGGGGGTTTGATCACGAAACTCAATAAAACTAAATCGAGTTTTGAGATGTGATAAATTCAAACTGCGCCAGTTTCAGACCATATTGTAATGAGTGAAAGGCAATAGGAGACACGAGTTAAGCGCTCTGGGGTGGCGAGATAAACAGAGAGGGTACACGGGGCGTGGGCATGTGAATGAGGTATGAAAATCATTTGTAAGGGGATGCACTTGCTACTCAATGCCTACTTGGCACCGATTGGTACAAAACGGATGAGGGAGTGCAGGCAACACCGTTTGGTTGCAGTAAAAGGACCAGACTAAACCACCAGCGCAAAAGTAAGTAAAAGCAAATTTGATCGCGGGCAACTTGAAGGGAACTTCAATGATTAGTTACTAGCTGAATACGGCCTTTTCCCTAACTAGGACGTAGCCTTTGTTCTACTAAATGCAAAGAGGTTGGAGAAATAAATCCATCATAACGTGTGTTGAAATGGGAAAATGTTCTTTCTGACAAAAAATTGATTCAAAAGGGCAATTGGCATGATTCATTGAAGAGTGGAACAAGGAAGGTTAGGTGCCACTAGGGAGCGAAAAATGCAATAGATCGTGTCCATGGCGTGAAAATGTCATTTTGTGCAAAGTAAGCAGTGAATTCAGCTCGCATAGATTGCAACGGTCTTTTATGAATTAAAAAAAAAGTTAGCATTAGAGTTTAGGGTTTCCAGGCTTTAATTAAAGCCGGCAATTTGTAACTAGAAACCTATTTTTCTGAAAGTTCACATAATAACGTTGCACCATGTTTCCCAAAATCGCACCGCAGGTGAGTCACTAAGTGCCGCGCAAGCCAGAGCGATGTAATTATGGTTGCGTGGCACATATATTCTAACGCTCAATCAGGAATGCTGCATTGTCATGAAATTACGTGACTATGCTTTCTCACAAAATTTACCTGTTGTCCGATAGCAAAGAAGAACATTGAAATAGCCATGAGGCCACCCATGGCAACCACAAGTAGACGTCGGGGAAATCGGTCGATTAGGATGGTCGCAATGAGAGAGAACACGAGCTGGCCCAGCCCGAGGGAGAAGGCGCAACGGGCTGAGTCGGCGACGTGGACCATGCGTTGGCACAGCGGCTCCGTGTAGAACGTTATCACGTTGATGCCCGTGGTCTGTTGGGCGACCACGAGGAGCATCGCGATGCGCAAATTGGAGGTCAACTCTGGGGGGATGGTGGTGCATGGCAAAATGAGACCGATTAAACGCGAGGTCGTAGTGGTGGTGGCGGTGGTGGTGGAAGCAATGCCAACCTCCGCAGAAGAAAGCAATTCGCTTAACACTGTCTTGTCAAACGGGGGAGGTGAGAGGTTTTTACCATCATTAGGGTTCGGCGGCTTTTCAACCAATTTCTGATTGGCTGGTCTGTGCTGAAGGGAAAGAAGTTTGTTTTAATTTGCTTTCCATACACTGATTATTCATTCCTGACCAGACGTATCAAAACAGGGTAAGAAAGTCTGGTCCATTCTATAAGCGAGTTCAGTTACCTGTATTAGTGCATAAAAGGCGCAAATAGTAGAGCAACACAAAATACGTCTTGCAAAAAAAGCTGTCTTCACGGTAGAAAAGGGAAAGTTGCTGCAAGGGAATAACCAACGGGATCGACTCACCTCACCTCTTAGCAATGAAAGACTGCGTTGAGCTTTTTGTGGCTGATTCATTCTTGCCAGCCACACAGGCGACTCCGGCAAGTAGAAGGATGAAATTAACAGAACAATCGAGATAAAAACCATTAAACGCGCCGTCTCGTACCACGCGGATGTCATACCGCGGTAGTACGCAATGCATGTCCCAGCAACAACTGCAAGCTGAGCAAGCGATCCGATTCGGCCCGATTGTGAAGGCGGGGCGACTTCAACAAGATAAACCGAACCAACTGTGGTCATCATGCCAGCAGCTAAGCCCGTGAGAACGCGACCAAAAATAAGGCGGAAGATTAGGCTCGGGGACAAATCAGTGGCAGGAGGAGAGAGACCCTGGGCTGTTGCAATGAGAAACCAACCGAGGATTGATGGGACAGCAGAGATGCGGTGTGCCATGCGACGACCCAGCGTATTTAGGACGGGGCTCACAACTAAGCATCCTGCCAGCGCTCCAAGGTTAATGACACTCGAAAAGAAGGCTATGAGGGTATCACCAATCAGCAGTTGAGCCGAAACCGACGAAGAGAACCCAAGAGAAATGCCTATCAATGTGAAGCATATCGTGTTTATTTTAATAAAATACGTAGGGAATTGCGGTTTCGTTTGAATACAAACTCCCGCCTTATTGATAGCGACAAATAGCCTCCGGATTTCAGGGGAAAACGAGAATACAGAAACATTACATTCGATAGCAGCCACTACAATATTAAATCTAATAGAACGCAACTAAATAAATCACGCAAAGAGATAACATGCAGTATGCTTTAAATTAGAGCGGGCCTTCCTTAAAAACAATAATAAGCAACAACGCACCGAACTACAGGATCTGAAATACATACAAAACTTATTTAAAAGCTACAAAGAAACACCAGAAAAAGCTTACATTAAAGCCTGATAATAGGATGTAAACAAAAAGAAAAACTTTATAAATAAATTTGCATACCACATATCAAGGGCCCGATCGCAATTATTGCCACTGTAAATAACAACCGTATGAATTGGATCTGTGGGCCTAGATAATGTTTTGCCCATATCTTAGCTGAAGCCACATTCCTCTCGATCATTCTTTCAAATGACCTTAAACGCAGAATTACATGAACCCCACCCAGAGCGAAATACGATTCATCTTGAGCGCGCCCAAGTTAGAGGCTATAAACCACCAACAAAAGTTACTTCTAACTGTCATGATGTGTTTTAGTTATATCTAATGGACCTAAGTACACATAAGATCCTGAATAAAGCAAATACATGGAAGTACAAAGTGATTTTTTTAGGAATCAATGAACATGTAATGGTGGGAATTTAAGGGAAGTTGCATTCAAAGACGAATAAACATCTTTCCACGCATGTACTAAAAGCGGCTTCTGTTAAAAAAGTCAAAGCATCTGTAATCAAAATGTAACTAAATTGAGAATCATGAAATCCTAGCACGAAATTCAAAAGGTTAATTCAGTTTCATCATTACTATGAAAAAGTCCAAACTTCAGGCATATTTACTTCGACTGCCTCCACATGATTTTATTTCTGTGAATTCGTATACTGAATCATAATGCATTTTTAAACTTCTCAGCAACTTAAACCACACCTTTAGTTATTTGCATTTCCGTCAGGTTTAGAATGCGCGTGATAATTCCAACTAAACTTGGATAAACTTGACAGTCATGCATCGCACAGTCTCCGTCTATTTCATTTTTAAATGTAATTGCTACCTAGTGTGATTTTTTTGACATCAACCACCAAATTCATTAAGCTGTGTTTACTGTATAAAAGGATTAAAAGAATCGTTGTGATTTATGCAATAAATCACTTTTAATTGTCCTTCTGGCAAGGTGTAAATAGAATTACTTCTTCACCCAATATGAAAGAAATGTATTGTGTAAAAAAAACAACATTTCCGAACAGATGCAAGAAATAATTTTTTTTCGAAATTATGGCAATCAGTTGTATATGTTTAGTTGCGAATGACGTTCTTTCTATGATTCCTTGACTTCTGGCAGCATACTGGCCTACAGCTTATTCACTAGTTTTGAAGCTTAGTGACTAAACCTAAGGTGCTTATTTAGCACACGCAAATTCACTGTCTGCACTGCAACGGTGGAATATGCCACGACTTTAAATAAAGTATGCACGTAATGAGAAAGATTGGGATACGATTTCTGATACGACAATATATGCATAAGTTACTTGAACTCGGCAGAAACAGAACTCCAACTGTAGCAGTTTGAAGCAAGTGTCTATACATTAGGGACACAAGTTCCTCTATTCTGCATTGAGGAGATATCACCAATTGTTCACAGGCGTACAAAAAGGTCTTTCCAATAAGTATTCCTGGTGGAATGGTACTTATTCAAGTTAACAAAACTTGCCGAAAAAAATTATAAATGACCTACTAATTGTCCATAGTTTTACAATTTGTGCTAAAATGGTCACTCTAACATTCAACGATTTGGTCGGGAAATAGTGGCATATATGAATGCAAATATTTAAGTGACTTATCCTTTATTGTGGGAACCAATTTCAATTTGTATGACTTTTGAAGATTGCGCTTTAATTATTCACGCCCTTGAAAATGGTAGCAATAATCTAAAATAAATCATAAAATCGAAATTTATTAATTCTCTACCTTTTACCTCGGTAACGTCATAGTGACTCAATACAAAGAATGTAATTTTTTTTGTGCTTTTACTTTTGAAATTCATGGAGTCAGAAGTGTTGTTTCCACTTACGTTGTTTTCTTAAAATGGCTCTATAAATTTCTGGCCGATTATTGCAAAGTGATTGGATGCTTAATCGTTCGGCGTTAGCGCTCTCTATGAAATAACCTGATTTTGTTAACTAAAATGGCGTCTTCTTTCTTGTCAGGCACACAGTATTCGGTGCCCGTTGCCAGTTCTGCAGTACGTTCAACGAAATCGTCTTGGGATGAATTTGAGTTTTCTAAATTCCAGGTATTTTTCTTTGTATTGCCTTATCTTCTTTAGAGTCAGATTGGTGAAGCTGCATCTTCAATTGCCTCAGCTCAGGAACAGGGCCGTCTATCGAGAAGAAATCTGGTCGAGGTTTTTCGAAAATTTCGAAATTCAGCCCCAGAGGTTGGTGTTTTTTTGCCGAATTTACACAAAGTGAAATCCTTTTCACTTTAGTGTCCAATCGCATTTTGAGCATTTTAATTGTTAATCATATCGTTGCAATGACTGATTGCAAACGTTTGTGTTGGATTTTCGTAAGTGGCCGAAAAAAAAACGTTTTTTTATTATTCTGAGGTCTCTTTTATTTTCTCGTCGGTAACTTGCCGTTGTCCACATTTTTTTGTGATTCAACAAGACCTAAGTAAATTATGTCCTTGGCATTTTTTTCAAAACGAAACATGAATAATTATAATTTATTGTATGTTATGATTTGTATGCTGAAGAACTGAGTACGTTGTGAATTTGCCACGGATTGGTCAAACGTTTGTTTGTTTTGTGTCTCTACTTTTATAATAGTTGAACACGTTTTTAGTCAATTTTATAATTATTGGTAGAACGTAAAAACCCTTGCATATTTCGACAGCCATTCTTCTGCTCTCCTGACATCAAAAAATCTTTTTTTGCATCAAATACAGCCCTGTGAACCCTAAAAATTTAACTCTAATGTTGTCAACCATTGCGTTGCTGACTCATCTGAAGCGGCGCGACTCATTTTCTGCAAATGATGCGTTTAAAATCTTGTAAAAAATAATGTAGCTGATTGAGAGTATACTGTTCGTCTAATGTTTTTATTGAAAATGCATCGTAAGTAATTTGGTTTCACGTCAAGCTCAAACATTTGCAATCGCCTATTAACTGACCAAACACGCGATTTGATTTCTTGTTATGCAATTTAAGTTAGTCTGAATACTTAAAGCTGCCAAAAATGTTGCCTTTTTTTATCGCTCATGTTGTACTTGGTAGTCTTTGTATGTATCGTGATTTTAGTTGCAAAAGTGATGTGGTCACATTGTCTGCAATTTTGTTATTGGTAGGAAGTGAAAAAGGCTGCCGCGTCGGTTTTAAAGTGCTTTCAGACAGAAATTGACAACCTTACCGCTAGGAGTCAGAATGCGGAGGACGCCTTTATTCAAGTTTATCAACGTCTTGTTGAAATGCCAGGTATTGTAACGTTTTTTTTCGGATTTCTTGTCATGCAGTGTAGTGCTTGACGTGTTGTCGCATTGTAACTGACGTCCAAGAGGTAGTCTCAGGCCTTTTTTCCAGTAATCGCAACAAACGGACACGGGGGTTTGATTACCTCTGTTGATTCTCTAGGCAGTTATTTTGCTTGTTTTCGTCATATATTTAAACCTAGGCACTCAAGAATGCTTTGATAATAGTGAGCTGCCTTGTAGTCACGTGTCAACCATTCTGTTCGTAAGAAAAGCATATTTACCAGCAAACGCCTCCTTGCTAGAACTAAAGTCGCACTTTTTAGATCCTTCCTTGGCACTTTCTGAAGCGGAGGCACTTAGCAAGCATGCACAACGCGCCTCCGATTTGACGTCAGAGAATGCCAAACTGCGGGAAGCCGTCAATGAGTTGAAGGCAGAAGTAATTGCTGCTAGATCCAACGGTGCGTTGCTTGCACACCTCACCATTTCCCATCCCCAGCAGCTTAATTTCCCGTTCGGGCGCTTTCTGTCTTCGTAACCCACTCCCTTAGCCTGTCTCACTTAAATTCAGATTCGTTTCATTCATAATGGTGGCACTGTTGAGCATATTTTTGTAGAATCCCTGCTCAAGACTGCGCAGGCCCGTATAGCCGAACTAGAGGAGTCGAGTGCCCGGTCGATTGAGGCGCATCAGAAGAAATTAGAGGAGAAGTTTGAGGAGAGAGAGAAAGAGGTCGCCCTCCTTGTCAGTGAGGCCAACACCCGCGCATCTGAGGCCGATTCGCGAGTTCGCAGTCTGGTGGAAGGTAAGTTCTGCTGCCCTGCACACTTATAGGGCGTTTTCTCTTGTACACGAGTGGTCCACTGATCGACGTGTTTCCTCGTTTGTTAAATGCACAAACCTACAAGCCTATTTTCTGTTACTATGCTTAATGTACTACTTTTTCTATTTCATCTGCAGCCTTGCACGCTGCCCAATCACAGGTGTTTGACTTGCAATCGAACCTTGAGGAGGTCAAAGCTGGGAAGTAAGCTTAGCCTCATCCCACCTTACCTCTTATTCGTGTAGGTCCAAGGAGTTGGAGATCCTCGTCGAGGACTTGGAAAAAGCCAACGAGGTGAGTCTCTTTTTTGCTCCGGAGTTCAGTTGTGGTGCTGAATGCCGTCTGGCGTACACTGCCGACGCCGGGCGCGAGCTGTGTGTTTTCGTGTCCTCTTTGGCTTAGGATGTCGGCAGCGTCACTATTCACTGGGAAAGCCAGACTGTGCCTTTGTCGAATCCTCTTTTATCACGACTTAAGCTATTCTTAGCATTAATTTTGCTCGCTAAATGATCATCTTGGCTGCATCTCATGTGTCCAAAGCTCTACAATACTTGTCGCCTCGACGCTGACAGTCATCTTGCTATCTACGCTGGCGAACTGGCGAATGTACGTTGAAAGAAAGGTCGCTATCCTGCACGCAGGATATGTGGAATGCAAAACTATTCAAATCCCTTGTTCAGTCCGCTCTAGCATCTTTTCGACCGGGTATTCATAAAGGCTACTGCAAAGTTAATTCTATGGAACCTGGCGTTCCATAAGGTCGTGGGAATTGCACGAATTCCGCGTCTGAGGAATCCAAGCCAGACGTTCCAAATATGGTTGTTGTGTTATTGAAGGGAGAGTCTGTGGGGTTTGTGTGACCTCATTTTTGACCGCAGAAATCGTCGAAGATGTTGAGTGTTATTGATGCGCCTGTACTTAGCTACATTGGGCTGCTGACCCCTCCGTCAATGGAATCAATTATTGTCTGCAAAAGAATCTTGGACGTCCAATGAAGTCTCACGATAACTGCATTACGTGGAATAACAAACGTCACGAAGGA